ACGGTGAAGACCGGCGTTTATGCTAATATCAACGACGACAAGAATTTATTCAAGGTGGGTTTTCCGCTACACGGTGACATCACAGCTGGGTATTTATACAGAATCAAAATGCCTTGTTCTGATTGGACCGCGAGGGACAAGCATCTACACAGAGGTCGATCTCTATTCACAGTTCAAGACTTACGTCACAAGTGACAACTATATATCAGTGAAGCGAGCAAGCCTCATTACAGTCCAGTTAACCTGAACATTCATGATTAGACTGCCTTTCTTCAAGTTAGAGACCTCCCCTGTCAAGTTAAGGCGAGGGATCGGCAGTCAGGCGATTTTACATAAAGTTCAACGAGGACAGACACACCTGGTTGTGCACCTACATCGTCAAGGACTTCGCTGAATTTAATTAGGCGACGAAAGATACAAGTGGATCTAAATCCTGGCGTTTCAGAACTACAGCTGAATTTCATCAAGCGACTAACACAACTAGATGGTTAGTAAACCTACTAAACTTCTGTTTGGAGAATAAAACGGAAATTTCACGCCCAACCTGAGGATATGAATATAGTGCTCCAACACCTCACAAGTGGAGGTTTATGAACAACGCCTGGATGACATACTTGGACCCCATGATACGATGATTCTATCAAGATGGCCAGCAAGAGCACTGTAAATTTATCTCCACCAAATTCAAATAGGAGGAAAAATGCAACAGATTATTTCCTCTATCATCAACTACGCCGCCAGAGTGAAGTCTCATGTACTATATCTCCATTTGGATCAGAACTGTCATACTAAGTGCATGTCGCGGATGGACCTATTCGACCCTCCATGAGCTTAATACTCATGATATTATAGCTAACTTCTAAAATTGTTCTACACAAATGTGATTGAAATAATGGAGGGTTTATTTCTGGAAATCCGATATGGTGGTTGCAAACCATTATCTGAGAGAATATCACCACGAGGGCGTCTCAGGTATACACCAATTCGATCCCATGGTCCTCGCAGACAACAGCTGACAGTTCCTCACGGAGAAGATAAGTCAATCTAACAGATTTTTACTTATCTTATAACAATACTAAATAGCTTCATGCTATATATAATTTACTTAAGTTCCTTTTATCATCACAGTACTATGATTATTACATCATACAATATATAAGTTAACAACTCTACAGAGTTTGTTATTATATATATTTACCTTTAAGTTATTCATATCTTAAGAGTAATACTATGGTTACATGATAAATGCATTAGCAAACAAACTCTACAGAGTTTTATTATTTTATACATAGCTTAAGTTAATTAAGCTAACAAACTCTACGGAGTTTTACTATTATATAGGTAACTTAAGCTAATTATACCTTAAGCATAGTACTATACTCATATTATTAAAATATATTGGCTAACAAACTCTAAGGAGTTTTGCTATTATATAGGTAGCTTAAGCTTATTCATATCTTAAGCTTAGTACTATGTTTATATCATATAAGTAGATTAGCTAACAAACTCTAAAGAGTTTTTTGCTATTTGGCTTAAGTATCATCATATTTCTAAGCAATATGGTTATATTATAACATGTATTAGCTAACAAACTCTACAGAGTTTTAGCTATTATATATGTAACTTAAGCTTATTCATATCTTAAGCACAGTACTATGTTTATATCATATAGGTATATTAGCTATCAAAACTCTAAAAGAGGGTTTTGCTATTATATATTTCGCTTAAGTTTCATCATATTTTAAGCTTTATGGTTACATTATAACATGTATTAGCTAACAAACTCTACGGAGTTCTTGCTAATATATATGTAGCTTAAGTTTTCCTTCATAAGCTCAATACTAGGTTTATATCATAGCTAACAAACTCTAAAGGGTTGTTTAAGCTATTATACAATTAGCTTTAAGTTTTCATCATATCTTAAGCAGTATGTTTACATTATAGCAGATAGCTAACAAAACTCGACGGAGTTTTGTTATTATATATATATAGCTTAAGTTTCATCATAACTTAAGCTCAGTACTATGTTTTTAAAAAAAAAAAAAAAAAAAAAAAAAAGTATATTAGTTAATAAACTCTAAGGAGTTTATTTTGCTATATACATTTAGCTTAAGTCTAATCTTATCTTAAGCTTAGTACTATGGTTACACTATAAACATATTAGCTAATAAACTCTACAGAGTTTTTTTTTGGCTATTACATATGTAGCTTAAGTTAATAATATCTTAAGCACAATACTATACTCATATTGTAAAATATGTTAGCTAACAAACTCTACGGAGTTCTGCTATTATATATGTAGCTTAAGTTCATTATATCTTAAGCACACTACTATACTCATATTGTAAAATATATTAGCTAACTAACTCTCACGGAGTTTTGCTATTATATATGTAGCTTAAGTTAATTATATCTTAAGCACACTACTATACTCATATTGTAAAATATATTAGCTAACAAAACCCTACAGAGTTTTGTTATATATATGTAGCTTAAGTTAATTATATCTTAAGCTCAGTAATTATACTAATATTATAATATATATTAGCTAACAAACTCTACAGAGTTTGGCTATTATATATGTAGCTTAAGTTAATTATAGCTTAAGCACACAGTACTATACTCATATTATAAAAAATATATTAGCTAACAAACTCTACAGAGTTTTTGCTATTATATATATAGCTAAAGCTTATTCATATCTTAAGCTCAGCATTATATCTATATCATATAAGTATATTAACTCAACAAACTCTAAAAGAGTTTGCTATTATATAATTAGCTTAAGTTTAATCATATCTTAAGCTTAGTACTATGTTATATCTTAAAAGTATTTTAGCTAACAAACTCTAAGGAGTTTATACTAGCATATTAACAAGCTTAAGTCTATTAGTCTTAAGCATTGTATTAATGTTATATATACTTTATCATAATAAGTACATGGTAATAACCTTTTTTATATGGCAGCTGATAAGTTAGCAGCAGGAATTCATCAGTTCAGTGCCTTTTTATGAAGTTCCCATAGGGTTATTACAATCATCACAGTTCAAATCACTAATTATTAAAAATCCAAAGTATTAGTATTCCCACCTCCGTTCCGTGCGGGGATGCTACAAGCAAAAGAGATGAGTCAGGATAAGGAAAAATATGTAATTTTTGGAGTAAAATTGATATTTTATACTTATCCTGACTCATGAGGTCAGCTCCTCCCATCCTCCCCAAATAACACTTTGGATTCCCTGTAAATTCAAATGTTGGGCTCAGTATATGAGGAGAGAGTGAGGCACATGGGTAGAGGTGGCGCCCTCGTTCCCGCGCTTGTGGAAAGGAGGTAACTCGTGGTGAATACTAATTAGTGATTTTAAATTGAAGGGAGCTTCAATTAGGGAGATACAAGTGTTCCACTATGTTCGCAAGAAGAAGAAGACAAGCAAAAAGAGCATGAGTCAGGATAAGTATAAAATATCAATTTTACTCCAAAAATTACATTTATGGCTTGTATTAAGTGTCTAGATGAATTCTATACATTTCATTGTTCATAAATAATTATTAAATAAGGGGACAGACCATGGTATTGTGTGAATTTGCCGTTGTTATGTCACTGGAGGTTATTGCTTATATTAGAGTTGAAGAGATTAATGTTGCTGTCAGATGTTTGTAGTCGGGTTTGTTGTTCTTCAGACATGAAATCACTCATACATAGCCAAACTTCAAACCTAAGTGCCCCTGATAGGATTTTGTGCCTGTATAGCCGTAAATGTGTTGCAATAAACACAGGTATATTTAGATTTTATTTACATGATAAGTGTGAGGTAAAAGGGAAAGCTATGCTGTATGATATCCTCAAAACAGTGTGGTTTTGAAGTGAATGTTTGTAGTGATCTTGTTGAAAAACCTGCTCTCTGGAAGTTTGTTTCTAGCAAGGGTAAACAACAACATGGCTGCGAGATAACATGTATCACAGATGCATTGGGAAACAGTCCCTCGTTCAACAGTCAGACCCAAAGTAGAAAGTCATCGCTATCGGAGCACCAAGCCCAGGCCCAATCTCGTGTCATTGATTCTGTATTGCAAATAACTGTTTCATTCATTAGGTTGTCTGCAAGCAGTATTTAGCTTTATATAGAAAGGTTATCGTGACCTTATAGAATGTCATCATTGGGTCATATGTACACATTGGGTCGATCCAACACTTAATGTTGATCACTTTTTCTGAGGGTATGGTGATGGTAGATTCTATCTGGAATCTTAAGTGATACATACTTGTCACGGCTGTTATCATAAATCCTGAATGAAGGAATGTTAGAGTTTGTGAAAGGATGCACTTCTACAATATGATAAGCCAACTGGTATCTATTTGTACTACATGCTGTGTCAGGTGGCATGTGTGCGCCAGCCCCGTGTGTTGTATGACCGTTACCGGTGGTGTGTTTGCTTAACGTGTACTGCTTCTGCCAGGCATTGAGCAAGTCAACACAACCATTACTGAGGCCTGACTAGTCATTTCTGGGTGATTAAATCCTAAATCTCTCATAATAGGAAATTTTCTTAATTTGACGAAAGATCCAAATGAATGTGGATTAGATTAGAAGTGTTATGTTAATGGTTGGTCTAGATATTACTTGTGCTTGTTTCCACTGACATTACGTCGTTCATCAAATCACAGGAACACTGTATACAAGTCCACCAGCACTTTTAATGATAAGGCACTGTAGTAATATCATTAGGCCCTAACTCAAATAAGTCTGCTAAATGGAGCTGGTATCAAGTTTGTAAGAACTTTCTTAGTTTTCGTAAATTTTGTATATGTTAGTTGTAAGAAAATTAAATAGATTTTCGTAATCTGCAAGTATTTGTCAATTTTTGCTATACCTTGAGGGAATTCAGGGTAAGAATTTGGGTGACTTCAATTTAGTCTGGTTGTAAAGAGTGACCAGATGAATCAGTGGTCAGCCTCTGCAGGAAACACAGTAGTGTTACACATACACTTGTTGTTGCAGACCCGGAAGACCCGGAGTATCAGCGACAGATGCGGCGGCCGGCAGAGGTGAAGGAAGACGTGAAGCAGATGGAGAACCGCAGCCGAGTCTCCGTCATCCTCAACAGCCAGGCGTTTCGGGAGGAGCTGGAGCAGATTGTGGAGGAGCAGCTTGCCTCAGGGTCGCATCCTGCGTCGCTCATTGCCCTGCAACAGATCTCCGACCTTCTCCTCCCACACACACGATCCAACCTAGGATCCATGGCCAGAGGGGGTAGGTAACACAACCAAGTATTGACAGGCATTAAAACTGAAGATCAACGTCATGAGCCCCAGTCCTGAGCCCAAGGGAATCCCTTGCTAAAATGGAGTGGTCAAGTTTTTAAAAACGTTTGCTTGTCATGCCTGGGCTCGATTCTGTCCATGTGTGAAGCCCATTCCTGGCGTCCCCCGCTGTGATATTGTTGGAATATTGCTAAAAGCGACATAAACTCCCTCACTCTCTCACCTTGCTGGGGCAGTGGAGCAGCCTAGTGGTTAAAGCGTTGGCTCGTCACGCTGAAGACCCGGGTTCGACTCAACACATGGGTACAATGTGTGAAGCCCATTTCTGGTGTCCCCCGCCGTGATATTGCTTGAAAATTGCTAAAAGTGGAATAAAACCCAACTCACTCACCTTGCTAACATGTTGCCGAACATTTCAAGGACACTCCTTTGTTTCCGACACTGCTTGACCTAAACTGGCACTTGGACCTTTAATCTAAGGCACCACAACTGGCTGTGTAGTTTAGTTACTTTAGCCTCTTTGTCATGGGTTGAAACCCAGAGTTTGATCTTTGGTCTGCCAGCACCATTTCATGCCTGCAGGTTTTCTTGTGCCTGTTCAACAAAGCAATCTTATTACTAAGGTGATTGTAAGTTAACTCCTATACTAAATCATGGATTTACAATAGTTGATAGTGGAGTACTCATTAATGTCACTCATTCTACTCTTATTAGGGCGGTGGGGTACCATACTCACGTACTCACTTATTAATCCCTTGTGTTGTGTTGCAGCCTCACCAGTCATTCCAGTAAATGATATCCGAGGGGTGGATTCAATGAACTACACTAAAGGGGAGAAGGTCCTGCGATGTAAGCTGGCATCGTTATACAGACTTGTTGATATGAACGGCTGGACACATGGAATCTACAACCACATTAGCGTATGTAGACCTGTATTCACCCACTAAGGGCATCGATTCTACATTAACCTGATATAACTGAAATACTGTTCAAATCACACATTTTATGATGTACTTTCTTGTCAAATAACATATAACTACCTCAACTGAACATCCGGTGAAGATCCGGGTTAGAACTAGTCTTCAGTAACCCATGTTTGTTGTAAGAGGCGACTAACGGGATCTGGTGTCAGGCTCGCTGACACAGTTGACACATGTCATTATATTCCAACTGCGCAGCTTGATGCTCATACTGTTGATCACTGGATTGTCTAGTCCAGACTCGATTATTTACAGACTGCTGCCATATAGCTGAAATATTGCTGAGTGCTGCGTAAACTTCACTCACTACTCACTCAACTGAAAACCTAAAACATTCCACTTTATTTGGTGAGCCTGGCGCCGGGCGACAAAAGTTTGGTATTTGCTGACACAACAGATTAACAAATATTCTCTGTGTTCATTGGTAAACTTCAATCGCCCGTTCTTTTGAAAACCTAATCGCTGCTGTGTTGCCGCGAGGTGTTGTCCATTCCACTTTATTTTAATGCAAAGATTATATTTATTTTTGGTGCTTGAATATTTTACCTTCGGGTTTCTTGTTTGGCGGGGACGTGCTACCGGCTCTGTGTGTGCTCTCCTTAGGCTATTCACGGTGCCAAGGGTGTTCGCAAATTGAGGTTTATTATAGCTCAGATAGCCAGATCGCCAGTGCCCGGTGTTGTCCTCACCCATTACATAGGCTTAATTGACTCATCGTGGTTTTCAGATGCTTCTGTTGAGTCACCGGGGACCTCCGCGATCAGTTACTGAAACTGGGCGGAATTGCTTCAACCTCCGCGCCAGTCAGATGGATGGTGACGTCAGGCGTCTCTCCGAGGAGTCCCCACCCTGGAGACACGTGCGGCTCTCTCGGTCCAGCCAGATACATCCCTGCGGGTTAGAGGCGATGTTCTGGGTGATCTGCAGCCTCTTGAGGCTTAAGTCACAAACCTGCACATCAATGTGCTGGATTTGACAACAGTCAGGGTTGGTGTCTCGATCCGCATCGCCGAGGATCTGAATTACCTCTTCGACCGAACATTCTCACTTGCACGAGCCACACGAATCACCGGATTCACTGGGTGGCTTGGCCTCTGTCGGGTATAACACACGATTCCTGCAACCGCTGCGGATACAATTCTCTGCCTGGGATCTCGCATTAAATCCCGTTCGGTGTGTTGGATAGGTGGGAAGCTACTGGTGTGGCAGAAAGGGGAGTTCATAATCCCTATTCTGCGGACTTAGTTCGGATATTGGAGTTACTATAACCTACGTTTTGGTTGAGAACCTTATGACCTCCACCATTGCGGATTGGCTCCATGGCTATTTTCCGCGTTTCACACCTCGTCCGATGGTGCTCTCCGCCTAAGGCAGCGTCTCTCGTATCGCGTCGTATAGCTGGCATGAGCAGGGGTTGACCGCTTCGTCGGCGACTCCAGCCCACCGCCAAAATTGCCGCTTATTCACAAATGGCTGTCTGGCCCTAATTTTTTCGAATTATCATCGCCTCTCTCCGCTTCGCGTTGGCGATGGAAGACTGACTTTACTTTGTTGTGGTGAACTCTGGTAGAAGAGAATTGCGCCATCCATGCGATTCCCACTGACCCCACTGACCCGACACTGGCTATTTTATACCGCAGTCATGTCCGTGATACGACTCCCGGATACCTACCACTCTCCAGTCGATATTGCTTTCCGCGCGGACTGCTCATATCGTGACTTCCACTACCTTACTCCAGCTCGCGACTGGGGACCAATCTTTCTCGATTGCTCACGCCCGTCCCTGTATCCGCGAGCTTAGCGAACAAAAGGGATCCGTCACGGGTACCCATGTGTGCTGTTTGGTGGCCCGAAGAACTAAGAGAGTCTGCCAATAAGCCGCGACTTTATCTCATTGGCTTGTTTCGTAATTGTATGGTTACAATGATATCGGTTTACCACTCGAGGGGTTGAAGGCAGACTGTAGGGCAGATGCCGCTTTTGTTGACAATACACAGCGCACTGCTCAATGAAGAGATCGGTTCTGTCGCTTCTTGAGCCAGCAGAACGCCTTCATTCGCCATTACCAAACTTGACACGAGATCGTCGTACTCAGGTTGCCGTCTTGATGCTCATACTGTTGATCACTCGGATTGTCTACGTCCAGACTCCAGTCATATGCTATTAACCCGTCTTACGTGAATTTACAGATGCCTCTCTGCATGTCACAACACCATAATAGCTATTCTGAAATGGGAGTCTGTGTTTCAGCTTTGTGGGAGTGGCCTACACTTTACCCTCCCTACCATGAGTGTTTGGTGGGGTATTGTTTTCCAGTTTTTGCCCACTCTAATTTCTTGTCTTTCTGTCTGCAGGTGCGTGTAAGTCAGGAATCGGAGCACTTCCTGCTCAACCCGTTTGGTTTGCTGTACCCCGAGGTGACGGCCTCAACGCTCGTAAAGGTAGACATGAAAGGTAATCTCGTAGACCCAGGATCCACGACGTTTGGTGTAAACAAAGCTGGCTTCGTTCTCCACTCGGCCATCCACCAAGCCCGCCCGGACATCAAGTGCATCATTCATCTTCACACACCCAATGTTGTTTCAGTAAGTTAACAGTCTAAGGCCTAGTTGAATTTCAGTATGCATGCTAAAGATCATAGGGTCACAATCAAGTAAAAACCATGAGAGGGATGGGGAGCGACTTGTTGCCACCATACTTTAGATTCCTAAATTTCCTGATCAGAAGATTGTAATTAAGGAAAGTTGGCAACGTATGTTCCTGCTTGTTTTTTCTTAGAGTAACTCTATTATTAGGGTGGATTATTTATTAGGTTATGATTATGCTGTTAATGATCACACAATAATTAGATTGACCATTGTTATTAAGTTTATCGCAGGCATCGAAGTCTGCAATTGATCATCAGCCTTCATATTTTCACAGATATTTCTTGACATTTTTCTGTCAGTATATCAGTCAGTCACATCCCTAATTGTTTTTTCCAGGTATCGGCAATGAAGTGTGGATTACTCCCCCTTTCACAGGAGTCTCTTATCTGTGGGAGTCTGAGTACTCATGAATACACTGGAATACTGGTGGACCAGGAAGAGCGAGACAAACTTGCTCGCAATCTCGGGCCCACAAATAAAGTAGGTGGTCCTCCAGGATTATATATCCATTTGATATGCCAATATTGAATTTATTATCTATAGGAAGAACTGATGTGATATAACAGACCAATGAAGAGAACTGGTTTAAGTAAGTAACATTTGCTTTAAATAAAATGCTATGACAGCACTGAAATTATGAAAATGTTATGTTTAAGGATAACAATATTGATCTATTTTATTTGTGTCTGTCTGCCAAATGCACTTAGTTTTGAATCCTAGCTATATCTGTTTTTGAAGTGCTTTTTTTGAAGACACAGATTATGTATTTTATACAGATGAGGATTGGAATGATCTAGAACTGAGTCATAGGTAATGGTGAACAAATAAATGAAATGGATGGGGTAAACACTGGTTAGAACTGAATTTGCGCACATTGTGACAGTATCCAAACGCAACAAATGTTTATTTTTCAAACCTGCATGGATGTTTTAGGTGATGCTGTTGAGGAACCATGGAATGGTAGCCTGTGGAGAATCTATGGAGGAGGCGTATCATTACGCATTCAATCTGGTCGCTGCCTGTGATACACAAGTAAGTTTTACTTTTAACTACTGAAGTGATGTAACCGAGTTCAATCCAATTCCTGACCATGGTATCTATCCCTTTGTGTCCATTCCTTTGAATCCGGTATTTTCAACTGTCACCGGTAGCTGCCGCCCCAGACAAAAATGCTTCATGTATATATTTTCGCGATTAAACATCGTGGTCCGGCGTGAAGATTGAGGCTGCGAGAGCCGAGATGTCAGTTGTCAGTGACTTGACTTACATTACATGATCGCGACAAAACATGGAAGATAGTAATTTTATATGTACAACTTTTATGAATGTTGTTGATTTTATTCATTAGTTTATTCAATTTATTTAATGAATTCTAAACATCGCTATTTGCTTTTTGACAATGTTATTGTGGACCGCTGTCAAGCATGTGTCCCAGAATCGTTGTTTTCAACTCGTGAAATGCGGGTTGAAATTCACCACAGGTATATAAACACTAATTATTTGCACATTTCACAGTCATTTAGATAGCTTAATGACATTCTGAACACATTTATCTAATTTAGTTGGACCGCTTTCATTTTCTGATTGTGACAAAATACACAGACTTAACGGCTATATATGCCAAATCGCGAATACTTTTGTCAGGACGCTGTAGGTCGTGAACTTAAGATTAACCCCGCCTGTTTGTCCCTCTTCTTTAGGTATTTTCAAACATAACAATATCACATATTTTCGGAGTAACTATTAATACTTAATTGCTGTTACAACGGTGTTTCAAGGACTATATTGTGAGAGTGCTTTCTGTAACTCCCCTGGATGTGTTATGTACAGATGAGAGCAGTACCAGCAGGGCTAGACAACCTGATCCTGGTCGATGATGAGACCCGGAAAGAGACATTCAAGGTGGCCAGCCAGGGTGGAGGAGGGGTGGACGTCACTGGACGCAAATGGAAGACAGGAGAGCTGGAGTTCGAGGCCCTCATGAGGCAGTTAGATAATGCAGTAAGTCTCCCTTCAATCACCCTTTGTTTGAAGGGTGAGACAGTTGGATAGTGTTTGTCATGCTGAAGATAAGGTTCAAATCCTAGTGTCTGTCACCAATTATTGCAGTGCTGAAACACATGTTAAATCCTTCTCTCAAACCATCATGTTCAGGGCCAAGGTAGATGGGGAGCAGAAATGGTAAAACATTTCAAGAATAATACACTATGGAAAAAGTTCAAGAATAACTGTTTCTTTATTCTTTATTTATTAACTGCCAGTTAATCTCCCATGCGTGAAAACATCTCTTGAGTAGTATTATCATTAACATTGTAAGTTAGTATTGATAGGCATCCTTTCCACATCATTTGAAATTAAGGATAGAAGTCACGGCTCCTAGACATAACACTAACATGAACACAGGCATATTCAAGGTCACTGTACTATAGCAGGGACTAAGCGTTTAATATTTGAAATCATAGAGATGAACATTCTGTTGGTATTTCCAGGGTTACCGCACAGGCCATGTTTACAAGATGCCTATACTGAAGCAGGAGAAGAAAGAGAGGTCTAACAGTGACGTCGAGGTTCCCCCATCCTCCAGCTCCTTCACATATGTTTTTGATGGCGACATCGAACATTCGAAATATGCGTGAGTAAAGCATTTCTCCACATATTTCCCAAGTTCTGCACTGAATGTGACATTGTGTTGCTATTGACACAGTTAAGGGTATTAAAGTTTTTGAAATTGTGACACCTGGTCTTTTGCAATTTTGTATCACTAGTAATGGAATGGGTTGGCATTTTCAGTCATTTTTCATTAACCAAAATGGCAGTTATCATATTTGGGTTAAAGCAAGGGGAAAATTAAGATGCTCACCTGTTGCATTACAAGCCAGACTGTTGTAGAAGTGTTGTGCCTGTGACATTTTTATTTGCTGGAGAGATTGGTTTGTCAGAATGGCTGCTACAAAACTAACATACTCTCCTGTAGAATTACATATCCTTGCATGTAATAATTGTAGAATGATTTGCTCAGTTTTGACGACTCCGCTGTAATTAACAACACTACTAACATGTTTCTGATTGCAGATTGAAGCATCTTTAAAATGTAAAACCCTTTTTCTTGAGCCTATTAAACTCTGGTATTCGGAAGGTTTGGTGCAGATACCCAAGACTTGCTCATATATCACCTTTGATGTTCAGAAATAAAAGTGTGGGATGTTGATTTCTATCCTGTTGTTTTTAGTCTTGAACTTAAAAAGAAATTTAGGAGGCACTTTACCTTTTTAATCAGAAAATATAAGCAGCTTTAAAAGTACTAGAAGTAAGTGGTGTTTACAGTTTATAAGTGTAGTATTTAGATGAAATGGACCCTCTACACATACTTGTCAATGATGGTATGTGGGGTGGGTGGGGTGGGGACACTGGGGGTAGCCTAATAGTTAAGGCCTTCTCTTGTCATGGTGAAGACCCAGGTTCGACATGGGTACAATGTGGGAAGCTAATTTCTGGTGTTCCCCTCCATGATACTGCTTGAATATTGCGAAAAGCGGCGTAAAACAAAACTCAGTCAGTGTGAATGATGGATGATGCCCACACATTTGTCTGAAGGTGACTTGATCCTCAGTAAATGTTGTAGAATGTTAGTATTTAACATAAGGGCCATGACAAGGACACCATGACATTCATCTCTAATTGCAAACAATGGGTAAATATTCTTTAGTACAATGTTGGATAGGATTTTTATTTGTGAAATGCAGTGCCAGAGAACTCCATTTTGGCTGCTTTTGGTCTTGTCTTGTTAACTTCAGTTCTATTTTCCATTGATTATTGAGCTTGTTTCTTGAGTTCTTGCCACCAAGCTTTCATCTCCCAATGTTACTGACAATAGATGTTCACAGCCTATCTTTGATTTATTTGTGTTCTGCAAATGCATGTTGAAATACGGCTGGTGTGGAAACTTTGCTAGAGATCTTCATAACCAAGGTAACAGAACTGATTTTATCAGATTCTGCAGAAGCAGTAGTGATGATATACCACAATACCTGCATGCTTTGTCTTCCACTCTCCTGATAATACCTGCAGTGACCAGTGTCCATACCACTAACGACCTGGATAATAAGTATTGATGACTGTTTACGGTAACCATGGTAACTGTTTAATCGGTCATGTAAATATTTGTCACATTAATGTGTTACTGAATATTCATACGTAAATACAGTTCACAGTGTATGCCTGTAACATAATACTGTTTTTCCTATTGGTATATTTAAAAGGTAATTAGTAAAAATGAAGTTGTTGTGTTCTTTTCTTTGCTGCATTTTATTACATTGTTGATTTATTGTTGGTCAGAACTGAGCAAATCTGTTAATTCATAGATGTTTTCCTTGTAAACATGTTAAAGAAACATCAGTATGAAATAATCAATGGACTGAAACACAGTTCTGTTCTTGCCTTTTTTAAATGTATTTTTTAAATGTATGTATTCACATGTATCCTATTCAACAAGAAGCGTCAGTGTTTAGTTGTGAGTCATGCTAAGAGCAAGCCCCATGTGCTGCAGTGAGACCTAATTCCTGCAACCATCATAAATGTATGGAGGTGTCCATAGTTCAAGACAAGACAAGTGCCAATATCAGATAATGATAAGGACTGGTTATGACTGGATATGACTTGTTCGTAATTTAGTAAACTAATCTGAAATATTTGATTCAAATCAGTAATTTTTTCTGTCTTATGCAGCCTACCTGTGAGCCAATATTGATATCTGAGCAGGTCTAGATAAATCACTGCATTTTGGCTGTTCAGTGGCATCTTCAACATGTGGAGTTAGGTATTGTTTACTTACATTGTGTTTCTCTTTGTATTGGTCAGGTCTCCCTTGAAGACAGCCTTGGAGAGACAGAAACAGGCTTACAAGGCTGGCTGGCTCACATCCCCCAACACATACAAGAGACAGGAACTGGAGGAGATTGGTACAACCAACCCCAAGAAATACACAAAGGTATGTGGAACTCTGGAAGTTTTTATTTCCAAGAGATACATGTTACATATAACAGGCAATTTGTATCAAATACATACATACAAACCAGCTTTCAAGTCAGTCATCATGGAAGTGTGCAGTAATCATTATCTGAGTAATGATAATATCTGATTAATAATAGTACATCATTATTTCCAAGAGATACATGTTACATATAACAGGCAATTTGTATCGAGTACATACATACATATCTACAGACCAGATTAGAATAGTGTAATATCCTGAATGGAAGTGTTCTTAGTGTTGATGAATTTGTTGATTGTGGGTTTAACGTACCCTGATGTGGACCATTGGCCATTGTAGCACCATAACTGGGGGTTCTAAACGTTTTTAGAAAGTTTAGGTTGGCAATAACTGTTGAAAATTGGTGTAGCCAAATGATCAGCATTTCCCTCTGTATGTCATAGAAATATCATTGATATCCACAGTGTCAGTATTGTCTGTCTTTACTATAATAATATCAATTGTAGAATATTTGTAGGATCACATGATGTAGGAGACTAGTTGCTGAGGTCAGCGCTGAACAACAAACTGTAGACTTTTAATGAACATCTTCTTTATGATATCCAGAGTGAGCAACTTGTTGAACCCTTGTCATTGTGTTTCAGTGGGTACCCGAGGGGACAGATTCGCCCTCTAAAACCAGCACCCCTATAAAGGTGGATGGCCCAAATCAGTTTGCACCACAGGGAGATAACCCAAAAGAACTTAAACTGAAGCAGAAGCAGGTATGTAACCATGATGCTGATGTCATGAAGCATGCAGTGATACAAATTTGATGCTCATGATATCACTGAGTGAATTGTCTGGTCCAAACTTGATTATTAACAGACCATCATGTAGTTGGAATAATGGGGAGTGCTGCATTATGGCTACAAACAACATGTCTTATGTTTTATGTTATTTTTCCAGATCCGAAAAGACTACTATGAGGACAAGGTATCAGCTGGACCCCAGTCCAGAGTCTTGGAAGGAATGTCATTTGATGAAGCACAGCAAATGAAAGTGAGTTGGAAGTGTTTACCTTGCTTTCTTGCTTCTGTACAATAATAGTTGTAGATCTATGCACAGAAGTGTCTTTTTCTTAATCCTGATGTGAAATTTTAGAGACTTAGTTTGTGCTTTCTGCAATGTGTGCTAAGAGCTGATTAGAATGTCAAGTTGTGTTATAAGTAACCTTTGAAGAAATTCTTTGAAACTTTGAAATCGTACTAATTCCTGCTCCGGTTTGTCCACAGCAGGATGGGAACCTAAGTAATGCCTCGGACCACGTGATCGTTGTTGGAGCAGCATCTAAAGGCATAATCCAGCGCGACCACCAGCACAACGCTGTAGTGTACAGGTCGTACTACGCAGCCAACCCCTTCGAAAACATGTCGGAGAAGGAACTTGAGGAATACCAGAAGGGGCTCACCAAGCAGGAAGGTAGCTATTGCATGATTACAGGGATACTTGATTATACATCATTATGCAATTCTGAATGCTTTAAAAAAAATTGCCAAAAATATAGAACTGAATGAAACAAGCAGAAATTGTGGAAATGCTTAACAAATTTGTCTCATTCAAGCAGTAGTTGAACTTAGTCATGTGGACTAGTTTACAACCTGAATTTAAATGTCGGGAGTGGCGTAGCCTAATGGTTAAAATGTTTGGTCGTCACACTGAAGACCGAGTTTGAATTCTCACATGGGTGCTGATGTCCCCTGCCGTGATGTTGCTGGAACATTGCTAAAAGTGGCATAAAACCATACACACTCCCACACTTACTTAATGTTTGTACCTCACTGACCCAGACTTGCACTGTACTTTGGGATTGATGGTAATCCATGTTTCTGTGCAGGTGGAGAGGACCTAAGTCCAGGTCCTGATGGCCGCCTCATCTCCTCAGAAGAGCGTATGCAACAGCTCAACTCCACATCTGCAGAAGGTAAGATATGTGTTCAGTATTTGCCTTGTACCAAGAGTGTAGTGTTTCCCTGTTCTGTTGTTCTTTAGCTGTAGATGTTGTGGTCCTGCCACTGTCAACACCCAGAAACAATGCATGCCACAAACCTACAGGATCGTATGTTTTGATATAAGTTCAGGAGAGCATTTCATAATTGCAATACAGTATAAATGTGGTGTTCCTTAATGCAAAGTTTAGTTTGTTTGTCAGAGAATTGTGAGAATTAACTGTATGATTAAAGAAAAGAAAAGAAGAAAAAGCAAGTGTATGTTGGCTTCTTTTGGAGAATTACAACAGTAATTTTGAAACCTATAAAGTCAAAATGAAGAAAATACTTTCTAGGAGCATATCCTGTAATGTTTGTCAATATTTCGATGAGTTGTTTTGTTCGTAGTCCTCTATAGTGACTCCTCTATCAATCTCCTGCATGTCCAGCCTTAAACATATGTTAGACTAGTCATTAAGGAAGTGTACAATCCTTCATTTTGTAATTCCTGATCTGAGGAAAGATTTTGTAGTGTACATAGTACTGTGTTGACATGACTGTCAGTTTGTCCTGCTTAGTGGTGAAAGAAATATGTTTTAACCGGAGTGGGTACTGAATTATTTAATAATCCATATGTCTTTGAAATATCATTCTTAATTTGAGCATGACATGTTAAAATTAAGATTAAGATTGCTCTTTAGAGATTGACACGTTTTGAATGGTAAGACTAAGTTCTGAACAACATGCTAGAGTAATGGTTAGGAACTTCAGTGTGTTTAACTCAACTCAAAATGCTATGAGTGACCTTGCCGATTGTGTGTCAGTTGTACCATGACAGCATTGATCATTAGCAATCCTATGTACTACAGATAGCTGTGATATATTGGGTGACCTAACAGAATACTCACTCGGTTGTCCCTGTTGATATATGGCTGCAATATGCCACAGTCAGTATCTATCTGTATTCTACCATAAGACCCTATTGCAGTTGTATCCAAGTATCTGAAACTAGGAGCTGGCAGTTCTAACATTGAAGCTTACCAAGCTGTACTGTGTTGGTGTGTGCACCCTGTTCTACTCTATAGTGTGTGTGTGTGTTTGTTCTGTGCACGGAGCCTTGTTGTTTCATGTAGAGTCGGGCATTGAGCCACTGCCTGAGGAAACTAACCTAGATGAGAGTGTGAATGGCCAGCCTGAGTCGCTGCCATCCAACAATGAATCAGGTACGTACACAGATCTAGCCTCCGCTGCTCCAGGGAATGGTGCTGTTTCTGTGCTTGCTGAATGATGCTTCAACAATGCTCTGACATTAGAATTGTTTGACATTGGACAATACCCTGAGTCCTCAATTCTTCACAACAATCAATCCATCAATCCCTCCGCTCACTTATCCGTCATTCTTCCTCAATCCGTCCGTCCATTCTTCCACTTACCTATCAATCCTCCATTCATCCCTTCTTCCAGTTATCCATCCATCTGTCCTATCTTTTTTTTTTCTCTCCTATTTTTCTGAATATTATCAGCCCGCTGGATTTGTAGTCTTTGGCTACCAAATTAATGGCTGTCAGATGCCATTGTTCCCTTTCTTCTGAGTACTCTAATGGTACATGATATCCTAATGAAAAGAACACTTCAACTTTATAACGTTCACTAGAATGTTTACAGGTCCTTTGTAATGATGAAATAGGTCTCCTGGATGTCATGAGTCAAACCAAAGACAATGTTGTTCTCGTCATAATGTGATGTTAAACTTTAAAAATGCCATTAGTCCTGAGACTGAGAGTCCTATACTTTGGCATCAAACCTGAAGGACTGCTTTTACTTCTGAACTCTTAGGGGCGGTGGGGTAGCCTAGTGGTTAAAGCGTTGGCTCGTCACGCCGAAGACCCGGGTTCGATTCCCCACATGGGCACAATGTGTTAAGCCCATTTTTGGTGTCCCCCGCTGTGATATTGCTGGAATATTGCTAAAAGCGGCGTAAAACTAAACTCAGTCAGTCAGTCAGTCTGAACTCTTACATCTTTTCATGATTCAGTAGTGAACATCTAGTACCTCTACCCATCCTACCTTAAGTAAATTGGTCTATAGATCAATATCAATCTATAAAATTCTTTAACCAGTTTAGTATTGAAATTATTATCATCTTTAAACTGTTTCATCATCCCTGTGTCACACATCATCCTTTCACTACAGTGTACTACTACATTCATCTCCCTGTCCATCTCCTTGTAACATGGGCCATGGCAGTGGTCATAGCGGCTACTGCTTCAAGCAGTATATGTCAGCAGCATGTTGAAACATCCCTTGTACTACTTCAATGTCAGATGATGAGTTGATGGTCTTCTAATACTAATTTATGTTAATCGATATATCTTTGCTTGTAGAATACTTGTAGTCTTCTATTTCTCTGAATGTAAACGACGACCCGAGGGGTTGTACATTCATGCATGATTTCTTCTCTTTCTCTGCTTTGCTCGGTAGCATTTTACTTGTAAGGCTTTTCACTTTAAATCATAGGTCACCATATTTGAATACTATTTAAGATAAATTGAGCATTAGGGATAGCGTCTTACTAACTTGATGTAAATTTGTAGTCATAGGTGCATGACTGTTCAAGTTGTTAACATACACATAGTGGGGATTCCAGACAGAATAGCTCCCGTGGCTGTTAAAAGAGCAGACTAGTGAAGAATGGGTGGTTACTATGCTTGACCTGATTTATAACATTGTCATGCCCTGATTGCGTAGATCACATTGTACAGCGTGATAAATGTAGCGTGAATATTGCCTACGTAGCATAAAAGAACATTGAATGATTGTTCATGCATATTGTCAATCAACTCTAGTACCACCAGTTCCACCCAAAAAGGGCAGACCTAGAGGTGGGCTTCTGGCAGGCGATGACTTGCATCATCCCCCTCAGCATGGCCAATCAGGTGACAGACTGTGTGTCATGTGACTTGTAGGCTGGGTGCCATGGCTGTGTCTATACTGACAACTGTAGTCATTGTCATAAACATTGTCCTAACATAACTGTGTACTTGAACTCACGGATCATACATATGTTCATAAACTAATGTTTGTAAGTGCAAATTAGGTATTTCATCATTTTCTCAAAATAATATACTCATAGAAAGTAGTATGTGTTAACTTTACATCTCATAATAATTCTTCATGCTGCAAACTAACACTTAAGGCTGTGTTTATTACTTATTTATAAGATTTGTGCTTCATTGTTCTAAACCTGTGGGGTAGCCTAGTGGTTAAAGCGTTGGCTCGTCACGCCGAAGACCGGGTTCGAATCCCAACATGGGTACAATGTGTGAAGCCCATTTCAGGTGTCCCCCGCCGTGATGTTGCTGGAATATTGCTAAAAGCGACGTAAAACCAAACTCAGTCAGTCTAAACCTATGTTAATGTGAGGAGGATCATGTTAGTGCTAAGGTTGTAAGGAATCAGGGTTTTGGACTTTAATAACCTATATTGATATTTCGCTCACATGTTATTAATATATCCGTTGAAAAGATCAATCCCAGTAGACATAATCAGTATGATTGAATAAAATACACAGTTTCTACTGAACTTGTGATGTGGCTACTGAGTTTATTGTCCTACTTATGTGTAGACAGTACAATTAGGTGTAGTAGGGAGCAAATGGAATGAAGAGCTGCCATAAAAATTCATGCTTGACTGCTAGCCCATGACTACTAAATTCTGCTGAAGGCAAAGCAAATATTTGAGTAGTATAAAGGAACTGATAAAAAATGTTATTTGAGAAACGTATTCTGCCAACTGTTGTTGTTAGATAAGTAGGTGGTGGTTCTTTATGTCCTCGTGTTGTAGATACCTGTAACCTGGGCACTGTTGCATGTCACATCGGTAGTGTGTATTGTGCACGTTGTTGCATGCTTGGCACGTGTATTCTTGCATGTTCACAGATGAAAAACGTACTACTCAGGTTAAAAGGTCCGAGTCCGAGCGACAACCTATGAGAAGTCCTGAGAGTGAGTTTCACATCACATGGCATATTCAGACAGCACTTACCTGGAACTGGGAAATGCTTATATTAACCTCAGTCTACGGTTTCAACCCTCAGTAACATAAACTGTCCAAATTCAAAAGAGAAGACAAACATGTGATTTTCATATATATATTTGTTTTGTAACTGATCGTATACGTTTTAAATATGCATTCACTATTCATAACCTGTATTTTCTTCACCTTATTTCCCAAACCTACTTTCCATTTCACATTAAATGATTTATATTCTGCTGATTCAACGTAATACACGTTTCCTCACACATGCCTCTCCCTGTGGTATTTAACATGGTTGACCCGTCTCCCCATCTCAAGTTCTGCAGAACTGACTGGTCAGCACTGCTCAACAGAGACATGTGGAGAATGTGTGACATTGGCTTCCCTTCTACTAGTGGTTTTGTTTATCTGCCTATACTACTTTGTTAAGCTTTTGTTTGTGTCCTAGCTGTGCATTTTGTCTTTTCCTTGTTAGTGATTCGAGAACTTGAGAAGAAGAATCTGGAGCGATCAAAATCTGACAGACAGCCCCGAGGTGAGATGGTGTACATGTGCAGATTCATGTCCTCTTCTGTCTGAATATGGCACTCTTTTCTTCCTACCTATGTCCGTGACTTGATGTCAATTAGACAAGATTACTTTTGTTGTTTGATTCCTGATGTGATTTACAGATATTGAACAGGCAATTGGTTATTTCCCAGAAGTCACAACAAGACAGGCTAGTTGTAGCAGGATGTGGCAGGCCAAATGCCTCTGACGTCACAACAAAACAGCTGCTCTGGCTTTGACCAAATGCCTCTCAACGTCACAACAAAACAGCTGCTCTAGGCTTCTTGTAGGAGGATGTGGCCGGCCAAATAGTGTTTCTTTGACCACTTGAGTTCTAAAGCAGATGTTGACTGTACTGATAGTGTTCAGGGCGTGGGATGTTGAAACATTGTTTTGTCATGACAAGTAGGGGTGACTATTGAAGGGGAAACAACTATTACGATAGCGATAGTCTATTGCAACATACTATTGTTTTTTTCTCTCATTGAACTGTCTCATTTGAAGTCATTTCCCAAATGAATGTATAGTTTATATGAAATAAAAAGGTTTAATCTCTTTTAATAACTGTCAAGAAACTGGAAACCCAGATCAAGTAAACAGTTAAAACATAAAGTTATTGTTTATCATACTTTCAAACTCCGAGCCGCTTGCCGTGTTTGCAGCCATGTTTGTTTAAGAGCTAACACTAAATCAAAGTGAATGAATCTGGTACTGCCTGTATTTTAAGCTGCACATTTATCAACAGAAGTCAATTACTTAACTATCGATAGTCACACATACTATCGATAGTGTTTCGTTCTACCATCGATTAATTGCTATTGGAGACTCAACAATTGCAATCCATCAATAGTTTGATGCACCGTTACAGCCCATATGACAAGGATGTAGACATGGTCTGGAAGCCCATTCCAGCCTGCTCAAGTTGTAGTGCAGTTAGAAGATTGCAGTGGCCCAGTATTGCCACATCCAAGCTGCTGCATGCTGCTTTGATGTAGCTACTACAAAATGTCTGATATTACCTTACACAACTTGCTATTTTAATAATTTTTCTGTGCTGCAGAGGATTGAGAAGTCAAGGTTTCTTGTTCCATCACTGTATACAGGTGCAGGTTGATCAGTTATAACTGCCGAATGCTTCATTGAATGATCTTCATTGTCTTTGCATTCATTAGCTTTGTATTTAGGATGCTATTTTACAGAATGATATAACAAAGTCTTGTATGAGCATTTGTTTATATCCAGCATGTATTTGTATCCCTTAGAGCTAAATGCAAAATTGAAAACCCTTGTCATACTGAACTAACGCATTTGAGCAAGTTTGTGAATCTATGTGTTTGCTGTGAGTAAGTTCTACATGTTACGATCTTCAGATGGTAAGTTTTCCAGCAAGACTTGTGTATGACTTCTGTTGGAGAGTTAGTTACAGAAATGTTTTTTCTGTCAGAAGAAGGTGGTGAAGGTGAGAAACCAAGCTCCCCTGCCAAGTCAGACACCCTGAGGTCGACAGACAGTGCAAGCGGAGGCGACACACTAGAAGAGCGCAGTAGCAAGGAGGTAGGGTTTACCTTCAATATTTGTGTAGACCGTGGACAAGTAATCAGTAAAATGCTCATAGTACACCCACTCAGTGACTGGGACTGCATGTTTTTAATGTGTGCTTAATTACAGATTTGATCTGCTTGAGCAACATTTTGTACCATTTTAAGTCATGGCTTAAAAATGCAAGAGAATTAATATCACAAGTGTAAAGAAACAATTCTGACAGTTGGAATTTACCATAAGAAATTATTTTCTTTTTCAAATTGAAAATTAAGAGCAAGGAACATATATTAATTCGAAATTATACCTCTCAAAAAAGTAACCACGAACAAAGCTTGGCATATCTGTCACTGTTATCAGCATTTAATGGTCACACTGAGAATCCACACTGTCTCCTTCATTTGAGGACCGCCTCCGTGGTGTAGTGGTTAGAGCGTCCGCCCGGAGAGCGGAAGGTCGTGGGTTCGATCCCTGACCTGCGTCATACCAAAAAGACGTTAAAATATGGTACTTGTTGGTCCCTGCCTGGCGCTCGGCATTAATGGGTACAACAAGGACTGGTCGGCTCGGAGTCAGTATAATGTGTCTGAGTGGGGTATTCATGCTTCACTGCGGCATGGTATCTCAGTGGGCTAGCACTATAAAACCAGCTTAAGTCTGGACTAGTACAAGCAGCCGCACATACACATGCATGCATGCACGTCGTCATATGAGTGAAATATTCTCAAGCACGACGTAAAACCCAATTTCACCTCACCTCACCTCACCTTCATTTGAGGTTCAGTGTGTCTTGTAGATGTGGAAATATCTAATATCTATGTTAGTGTGAAGCCTGCTACAACACTTGTAGATCATCCATTTATGGGGACCCTTTCTATTTTATTTAATGAAATATGCTTAAAAATGTTTCATGTTTCTGTTTGAAGCACATACACTTAAATAACAGTAGACATAAAAATGTGGAGTCTCGTTGTATAACTATGTCATCACAACTGTCTATGAGCCAGTGGTGTAATAAGTATCTACACTTGATAACATTTGCTACATTTAATGTGATAGTCATAGCAGATGATTGCTCAGTGCAAAGACCATCTGGTTATTTTTGACATATTTAAGACTGGTATTGTCTGCAAATGTTCATATCTCGCACACATTTCATTCACCTTTGCAGGGCTCCCCAACCAAGGAACAGCCATCTCCCAAGAAGGAGAAGAAGAAGAAAAAGTTCCGCATGCCATCCTTCTCCAAGAAGAAGAACAAGGAGAGCAAGGAAAGTGCAATCTGAGTGTTCCCCGATCAATGATGTCATCGGCAGCAAACTATGTTCTCACTAGCTACACGACTCACTCCATCGTCCCCTCACAGGGGCGCTTTGAGCAGTCCTTCTACCACTTCAACATTTGCTTTTGTTGGGGACATGCTGCAGCGTTGATCGGAGGAGCAGACGGCGAAACCTTGTTTCATTTAGCTTTTATACATGAAAGAGAGAAAGAAGGGAGGCAACTCTTGGTTTATTGCTTGTTACTGTCGTAGTCACAGTCTATGCATTTTCTCGCCACTCATTTCATCCTTGTACCAATGAGAGAAGACTGCGAGATCAGTGCTGCCATTTGTGACATTTGAGGCCATGTGTCCAGCTTACCATGTACCCTGCTAGGTTAGTGAACGAGGAGGAGTTTGGACATCTGGCAGGTTTTATCACCATCATTTTTACGATAATAGTGTCCGGGAGGCTACATTACAGATAATTGTTGTCATGGAAATTGTGCTTCCTGAGGGATAATTAGACCGTTTTTCTTCTGTTATTTTGCATTTTAGTCACTTTTAATCATGTTTTTTGAAATATATGTTAGCACATGTATCACAATATTGCATTTATGTGCAAATGTTTCATGTTCATCCAACAAGTATTCGTACCATCGTTCAGATACTGGCTCCTCCAACAATAGTGCTGTTCCTCCTGAATACTCTCATATCAAGGAGACAGCTGTTCCAGCAAGGCAGAGTCTGTCTGAGTGTGCCGCACTGATAGTGTCACTGCCCTCTTGATGTAGTATTACCATGGCAACTCACAGACATCTGCCGTGTCATATTCTAAAGCATTACACCACATATGGTAGTGTTTGTACGCCTATCTAGATCTTCTGTCGTAGTGGAGGTTGCGTAGACTAAGGGCAGATAACTCTTTGCTTCCACTTCATTGATTTCATGTCACAGTTTGCTGCTGAAAACATTTGAATGACCTAATAAGTATATTCAGGGGACCCTGCTTTCTATTTTCAAACATTAGATATATTTCATGTTACCACAATATTCAGTGAGCTGGAAACCATGTCAAGACTTGCTTGAGGATTTCACAGATGTGTTTTGATTCGTTTTGGACTTAGGTAGCAGAGCATGAATTGTCTGGGATTGGGGATTTTGGTGTCAGGGGAGGTTACTCTGCTGTTTCCTTTCTGGATGTGTGTATCAATGTCAACAGTCCTGTGTAACTTATATACCAGATATGGATCCGTCTGTGAGGCATGACACGAGGACGTGTACAATTTTGTATTGTTTGTGATGTGTACAGCTGTGTCTCCACTCCTGTAAGTCTATGTTCTCTCTCTCGACATTGTTGGGTGCTTGATGTTCGTATCCATTGTACTGATCATATGCCTTTCCGGAGTAAGTCATCAGTGCCCAAGTAAGTCTCAGAAGTTTCATGACATTGAGGAAAAATTAAATGTAAATGTAACAGTTGGGATGTAGAACAGGAGAAAGGTAGTTGATTTGTTTGTTTAATGAAAGGTATATAACCAGGTGTAATAATGGATATAGCAGCATTAAAGCATAAAACTGGTTGGTTCTGATGTGATTTCCCAGCTATGAAAGTGTCCTGTTATATCTAAGGCTTGCAGTTGTCAGCCTGTTTGTCGTAGTTGTAGTTCTCATCTGTAAATAAGTGTAAAATCATACATCAACAAGTGACCAGAATTGCTTTTTAACCTTGTTTTGTACCCATGCATGAGCTGATAAATCGTAGAAAATACCATGGTGACATAGCTTAGTAGAATCTTATGTACATTTGATTGTATAATTGAAAGCGATACAATGGCCTTACTTAACCATGGAATTGAGGCTTTTTCTATTTTATGATTGTCAAGTTTTAAGCGTCATTTGTGTTTTTATAATTCTGTTACGTCCATATTCTAGAGATAGCGGCATGGTTGTGTTTCAACCAGCTCGGGGCAGAAATATTAAACCTGTAAATAACTTGGTGCCAATCCTAGTGAGCATTGCGCTAGATGTTCCACAAGAGTCCTGTTAGCTGCCTGTGGCCGGGTGTTGCTAGGACTAGTTGGAAGTGGCCGTGTCTTTTGCTGCTAGGAGTAGGTACCAGAGGAATCACTTGAAGACTGTACAGTGTAAATTTGACCAATCATGTAAGCTTTTGTTTTGTTATGAATGCCATTTTGTTTTCCTGGCAAGTGTTATGTAGCAGCGATGGAAGCAGACGGTTGTAAACCACTTCCTGTCTTAAATAAAGAGTTCTCTCCCTTTACAGGTAGTCACTTATGGCTCTCTGTTTACAATTTGAAATACTTTTCTATCATTTCCTACACAGTTGTGAACTGGCTATGATAGGGAAACATTCCCAACCACCTTGTCATGGGCATCAAGTCATGACAAGATGCAAACAGGGGCCATTAGAGGTAGCTGAGTAAAGGGAAGTCACAAAGCTTGCTGAGAAGGCACGAGCTGAAATATATTGTTAGTCTTCGCATGAAAAATACAAGCAAACTTTGATTAATTTATGTGAATTGTTACTATGTCATGAATATATACTACCTGTGCCCTCCCCTGGTATTTAAGCGACTGTTCGTACGCTGATCAGAATGCTTTGTTGACTTTAGATGGTGCAATTTTTACATGAAAACTGTTTTAGGAACAATTTTAAGTATTTTATTTGCTGACACTAAGTGGTTGTGAAGTTTACCAGTGGATACTGTGTTCAAGTAGGATTACTTGCTTTTTACAATTCTAGTTGTTTCTCAACAATAATAACCAATACTTATTGTGTAGTTCACCTGTTGCAACACATTGCTTCTTAGTGACTGTTCCGAGACCGTTTCTGCCACGGTCGCAGATGCTGATGACACAAGATGCTAGTGTCTGTCCACTCATCTTTTTGTTATGAACAGCTTGTAGTAACCCTGTACTGCTGTGGCAATAAACATGGTAAAAGTTACTCCTTGTGTTTTGTGATCACATTTCAAGATACTGCTCAAGAACAATGACATTTGTCAAAAGTATGGATAAGAATGTGCGAGTGAACATTGGAAATAGATCCATACACTTGTCCAAATGAATGTTTTAAAAATTCTTCTTCATAATCAACAGTTTACCGAGGATGTGTACTAAGCACAACATTTCTGGTGTCACACGCCATGATATTGCCGGGATGTTGCTAAAAATGGCATAAAACCATCCTCACTACTAAGCACAAAAAGAATTAATAACTCTGCACATAATGTGTATTTGTAAAGTGGAGTGCTCATTAAACAAAAATGCTAATAACAAGGTACTTTCCCAAGAATGATGAAATGATATGCTTTTGTTGGCCACCAGACTGGAGCTGAGCAGCAAACGACACAAAGTCCAACTTTACTGGTGATTCAAATCACATTCTGTGCACTGAGCAATATTCCACCTGCAGTCTGAATAATCAAAATCTGATCCAGACAATCCAGTGACAGCTATGATTATTGATCTATGCTGATTAGGTATGATGACACACCTTCAAGCACTTGTCACATCACACAATCCACAAATCTGCTTCTTGACACCAACACATCTTGTAACAATGCCTCAAGAAAGAGGCTTTATGCTACTTGTAGCAATGTTTCAGCAACATCAGCAGACACTCTTAGTCTCTGAAAATATACCACAAATTCGCTTCTTGACACCAACACATCTTGTTGCCTCAAGAAAGAGGCTTTATGCTACTTGTAGCAATGTTTCAGCAACATCAGCAGACACTCTTAGTCTCTGAAAATATACCATAAATTCGCTTCTTGACACCAACCAAGACACATCTTGTTGCCTCAAGAAAGGCTTTATGCTACTGTAGCAATGTTTCAGCAACATCAGCAGACACTCTTAGTCTCTGAAAATATATGACAGACAAATAGTTCCATTTAAATTACGAGACCAAGTGAGCTGGGAGATTCTGTCTGCTATATATGGGGCTTTGCAGAAAGGGCTGGATAGAAGGTAAAAAAGGACAGACCCATGTTTAACAGAAGCAGTCAAAGTGGTTAAGGAAGCACATGGTACCATGTTTCTGATCAAGGAATCACAAGACTCGACTGTTATTAAAACAGACTTTATTGTGAGACAAGACAACATGTTTTGATATACACATACAGCTGTCAACAGTAAGAAACATTTCACAGAAAGTAAGCAAGAACATTGTCAACAACAGAAAAACTTGAAACCTGATAAGACCGTATCACAGTATTAGCTGATGTTCACAGGTTTGTTGTCTAATAAACTTCACATATAAACTCAATAAACTTGGTGTCAAATAACGACTTTTTTCAAGAATGGTTACATATATTATACACCTGGAAAAACTTAGGCATCACCAACTCCTGCAGAAATTACTCCAGGAAACACAAGACTGATTCGTGTGAATAAGAAGTATATACCTGAGTTCTGACCTGAAAGTTCTGTGGTATATTTTTCATATATATTAATTTCAGAAATTTATTGGTGTATATTTTTTCTCTTTAAAACAATCATGACATTAATTGTATTGAGCTTCAGAAACTGAAATTGTTCATGTAAGAAGTTTAGTAATGACGTACTATATGACCAGGGAGTGCTGCTGAACCTTTTCCAGGTGTGTTTGAGTGATGTTTCGTAATAGTGGCATCACATTTCTATGTGGAATGGAAATAAAAATCTGGTGGTTAACACAATCTTAAGTACAGGTAGACATGGAAACTAGGAGTGTTCAGGATGAAGATGTCCCAGCTGATGGAAAGTGAGCTGTTCCTGTTTCATAAACTTTCTTACTTTCTTGTTCCTGTTTCAACATTCACTTCCAGACAAAAATAACTGATCATGTTCTAATTCATAACAAAATAAAATGTTAGCACCCGATGCAATTTTTTTTTTCATTCAAGGTTTATTGCACCTGGGAAAAAATGATATTTTAATGAATAATAATAAAATAAGTTAAAAAGAGTTAATTCAAGTTCCCCCCAGATAATTGTGAGTCCTTATTTAAGCAATGGTAAAAAAGTAGGTCGTCATAAATATATAGAAAGATATGTCAGTAAAAAACAGAAAGTGTTGCTTTATGTTTCCCCTAAATAAAAGTTAAGCCATTATGATGATACACCAGTGTTGTCGCTGTTACAAGAATTCACTGGATATTAGGAGCTTGTCAAAAGAAGGTCATTTTAAAGGTCATGTTACAAAAACTGTATAAAAACTATCAGCCTAAAAATACTTTGAGTTAGAGAAGTTTGTTGTTGAACACTGCAGTCATTAATGTTCAACGTATTTACGACAGCAGTCTACATGATTTGAGTCTGGACCAGACAATCAAGTGATTGACATCATCAGCATTAACCTATGCCAATGTGATACAATGACATGCATGACCCAAGTCACAGAACCTGAACACGCTAGTCAACTCTTTCGACAAACATGGACTGCTGAAAACCAATTCTAAGCAGACCTTCACATGTTTAAGTCAAAGAAGCAACTCACATGGTTGAACACTGAAGTAGAAGTAGATTCTCAGGATTTATGGATTCTAGCTATGCTAGTCTGTCTTGACAAGTGGTCTTTTTTGAGAACAATAGATTCACCATGCTATACAGTCCACATCAAGTTACAGTTGTAATAAATCAGCATGACCACCATAATCAGTTATTCTCATCCTGAGAATACCATAGAAACGTTGATCACTCCAACCAGTCCTGCACTTCATAGGCGTGACAGTGATGATGTGTTCCAACATCCCTTTGCGTAATGAGACATTTAAGCATTTCAGCATTTCATTTGTTTGAACATGACAATATCACCCTGACATACAAAAATCACTGGGGACGTTTTTCATAATGTACAGACATATTCACAGAACAATTTATATATGATATATGAATAAGAAATTTATTCTCAAAAAGTCTACCTCAAGATCAATCTCATTAAAATCAGATATCAGTGCTTGCAACATATTTACATCTGATTTTAATAAGAGAGAGTCTTCACATAAACTAATATGGACATTTCTTCACACTTCCTGGAGTAAATAGCCTGTTGACATAGGTATGTAGATCAGAAATATAACAGTAAAACATCATGAAATCTATATGTCAGCTATGACAACTCATGATTGTTCAGCACCAAATAAACTGCACCCTTCATACATACAGAAAACGTGAGTGTGAAGGGTTGAATTCAGTTTCAGTTGTTTTAGTTTGAGGAATGTCGCAGTGATGCTGCTTGTTAATATTAACCTCTTCATAAAAGTTCAGTTTTACGCCACTTTTGGCAATATTCCAGCAATTTCATGGTGGGGGACACCAGAAATGGGCTTCACACATTGAACCCATGTGGGAAATCGAACCCGGGTCTTCGACGTGACGAGCATACGCCTTAAGCACTAGGCTACCCCACTGCCCACAAAAAGCCATGAATAAGTGGAGACAATATACCAAAAAAACATTACTTTGACACACCATACAAAGCAGCCCCAAATATTACAAGCCATCTAATTTGAATTTCTATGCTTGGTTGGGCAAGGTTGGATCCTTTGATGTGCTCTTGAAGTAAAGGGAAGCAACTCTGCACTGCCAAACGCTATTTGAGAACAATTACATTCACCTTATAGTGCAGCTTGAATTCCTGTAAAATGTTTAAAACATAAAAAAAATGCCTCTATCTCTTTCTAATTTTGAGTGAGTGAGAGTTAGTAGAGAGTTAGTGCTGCTTTAACACTGATTCCGATGTTTGAAGAACGACAACCTCCAGTGTACCCTGCTGTCAGCTGCTCCACTGATTCACTGTGAATGTACTGGAACCTTGAATTTATTCATTAGTCATTAGTGCACCATTGTGAGTATCCATGGCGATCACAGACAGAAGTACTCATTACATATTTGAGGTACAAGATAACCCTGTATGTTTAACGATAATCTCACTTATCTGGACAATTTGAGTCAAAAATTGTCTGGATAAAGTAATTTCAACATATCTCAATCTTTGAAATAACACAATAAATTTAAAGTGTTATCACATGAAACATATAGATTTGATGCTGGATGCCTGGCGATGATTGGTAAAACAAACATCTTCAAGGATTGTTGCTGTAAGTGGGGCACAATAGTGTGTATTTTGGAAAACAAAAATTGACACAATCATTCACCCAATCACATTGTCTGTTAAAAACAAACTTGAAGATTATTAAGATTTCTTTTCTGAGCATGCCCACTATAAAAATGTTTTCCTTCAGAGAAAAATCAATTACTGTACACAAAACAAATAACTATAACAAAGTTGTGATAGAAAACATGTAACATCTCTGTTGTATTGGAAACAAGATTCTTTAAAAAGGAGTTTCACTACAAAACACATCTGCTTAAAGAGTAAGACAATAACAAGCTATAAACTGAATATAATATCGCCAACATGCCAGGGGTGGAAATAACTTTAAAATTGCTAGTGTACTCCGGTACAGTGGCACATGTAAAATCACTTGCCCTGATAATTTTTCCACTATACCGGCCGTTTTCTTGTTGATTTTTTAAAATAAACAACATAATTAACAGTGGAAAGTCAACTGGACACTGGTACAGTGTGATATACAAATTTGCTTGCCCGACAGAAAAAAACACTTGACTCGGACGTCGGGCAATGGGTTATTTCAACCCCTGCATGCATTGTACTATTTGTTTGTTTGTTTGTTGTTTAGTGCTATACACTGCAATATTCCAGCTATATAAATGTCATCTGTAAATAACTGAGTCTGGACCAGACTACCCAGTGATAGACATTATGAACATTGACACAACTGGGATTTGTTGACATGCATTAACCAAGGAAGCGAGTCTCACCTCACGATTTATTGGTCACCTCTTACAACAAGCATGGGTTGCAGGAATAATATCATTTAATGCTTTCAGCATATTCAACATGGAATAATTTTACGGACTATAATAAGGTTATAACATAAATCTCAAAATATTTTTAGGTTCAAGGTCAGGAAAGAGCAATTTGTTTTTGCTTATTAAATGAAAACATAAAAAAATATATCAAGTTTTTCGTTATCGTTTGCATGTCAGTTTGCAAAACTGATAGATAGGAAATTAACTTCAAATTGACCCTGAAAAATATAAGAATCATATTGGTTTGCCTGATCCTCTTAGGAAAGTGGTTTGCCTGATCCTCTTAGGAAATAGAAATTTGTCTGCCTGTCTGCATGCATCAACTTTATGATTTTATTGAATATTGGTTTAAATTGAGTTTCATATAAAAAATAATAAATATTGCAAACTGCAAAAATATTAGACTTCCTTTCATGTTTATATTTGAACCTGGGTATTGAATGTGACCAGCACTTTATCCACTAAGCCACCCTACATGCAGACAGGCAGGCAGGCAGACACCGACCCAACTGAGCACAAGACCTGAAATATGCTTTAGTATCCTGCTGTGTATTTCAAATGACAACAGTTCCTTGTCACACGAACACAACAAATGAGCTTTTAAAAATCCCATTTTCACAAAACTGGGGTAATGAAGGTACCAATGTACCATTCAAGTCATTAAAGAGGGCTGCAAGCAAGCAGAGATTTGGCAATATCAGATATCGATTAAATTGTAAAATGATTTCTGGAGAAATATCCAGAATGAATGGTCCTTCCTTCTCCTGCCTCGTCCCCTTGTCAGTCAAGACTGCCATCCCCATGGCAACTGTGTTGAACTTGACCTTCGTGCATGACAGCGTCCTTCACGTCAGCATCATGGCATCATGGGATAGGTCAGCTGCCTTTACAAATACATCCGGACTTGCGGAATTCGCGTAATACAAAAGAATCTTTTACTTCTGAAAACAAAACCCAACCCATTATACAAGGAGTTTTGTTGAATAAGAACATCTAAATATGCTTCCCAAACCATGCAGTTAGACCCAGCAGACTTTGGACACAAATGTATTGCTGGCAATAATCTTGTCAACTGGAGTTGGTTATTAGGTAAACCATAGCCTGATGTGTTATGATGAGATGGAGAATGGAGATGAACGTACAGATTAAAACCCATTTTCTTCACCACATCAAACTCTGGCCTTACAACCTTGTGACCTGGGGCTCGTAACTCGAAGCAGTCGTTAAATTTGCTCCCAAAGCATGGTTAACAAACGCTTTAGTAACGTCATTACAAAAATTAAGTAGTGTATCACAAAGCATTCGCTAAACAATCCTTAAGTGTTTGTTAGACGTTCCATAAAAAGCGTAACTCAAAATATAGACAGCTTAAGGCAAGGTTAAAGACAATGGGATTCCCCGTTTTGAAAAGATTTTTCAGCTGTTAAAACCATATATCGACAAATGAAATAGTTTGAAAGCTGGACGTTTCGCAATATTTACAAAGATTATGCATGTTGAATTTTGTTTTACACGTTGCTCTTTTTCTGTTGAACTTTCATTTCCTTGAAAATATTATAACTCCAAAACCATTTCTTTGTTGTTGATTTCCACGAATTAAGAAGTTATCATCATCCTCATCTTCGTTGTCATCGTCTTTATTTTCATCAAGTTCATCATGAAGTGGGAGGCCATTTGCAATGCAAATACTGTGCAGCCTTGCTGTTGCAACTATTACTTTGGCAACATTTTGAAGATTCAAATAGCATGCACTCTCCAGATTTGTGAAAACAATGAAATCTCATTTTCCAAACACCAATTGTCCTTTCACTTTAGTTTCGAGTTTTACGCTGAGAGATGTTATACCGTAGTTCATTTGGTCTGGTAGGATTCAATATAGGAGTCGTCATCCATGTAGCACATGCATACCCACTGTTTCCTAGCAACCAACCATCTCCCACCAAGCCTTGATCAAATAAACATTTGTTGGCGCTTTGATTGGGATTATGGAACCGTCTATAGATCCAAGCACATTTGGAAAATCAGCTATTTGGTTGAAATCAGCTTTCATTTTCTGTTTTTCAACAGTTACTTGTGTTTTGGAAATATTATAATACTCATTGGCATGTTTGCACAATGATGTTGAGACACCGAGGTGACATGTTGAAGCTTTCATTTTTGATAAACCTTGTACATCTGCACAAACGGTCACGAAACTCCCAGTTGCATAATAACAAAGTGCTATCACTATTTGTAGTCATACACTTAGAGCATTTGACCAACATGTAGGATGTGCAACATCATCTTTGATTAAATGACACAGTTAAAAACTCTGTGGTCTGTTGAGTCTGAATCCTGCTTGTATTTCATCATTATTCAATGTGTCTAACGGATTATTTCTGTCGCGGAATACACGGTTGACATTATGGATTCTTCGTTTGTTCCCATTTCTCACGTATTCTGCTTGAATGCGTGGACTTATCATCTGCAAGGGACTCACATTATGATGAAACAAACCTGAAAGATCTGTTCTCCCGCGTGAGCACTCATCTGATAGTGAACTACCTGAGGGAAGTTGATCTGTATCATAAATTGTAACTGTGAAATGTGACTATCATAAATTGTAACTGTGAAATGTGACTAACAAATTGCCTGCCTTCAAATTTGATGCTATGACTTTTTCTGCTTTTAAATGACAATGTAATGAATATATGTTTTTGAAATAAAACTCATTCCGAGTATGTACTTACAATGTTTATTAATGCAAACTTGTTCTCGTCACTATATGGCTGGAATAATGCCGATGTGACAAAACCCAACTCAACCTCAACCCATTTCTCACGTAGTGGAAAGTGTCATTTAATAGGTTGATATGGATTACGACCAGTTAATGACTGCTTAAAGGTTGGTCAGGGGTACACCTTAAACACAGTCGCTAACTTGCCTTTTAAGGATTGTCTTAACTTTAAAGATTGCTTCTAGTTACACAACGATTAAGGAAAGTATGTCTTATCCTTTAAAGATTGCTTCTAGTTTGACGCCGCTTTAAGCAATATTCCGCAATAAAATAAAGAAATGGGCTTACACATTGTGATTATCGAACTTAATTAACGAGACAATCTTAATTAAAGACAATCTGCTTTGGGTTACGAGCCCCTGATAACAAAAGCTGCTGAAAGTATGCTTATATGTTGACATAAAGGAACTATATCACACCACACTTCTCTAAAAATAAATACCCCAACCGCGTCATACCAAAAGACGTTAAAATATGGTACTATGGTACTTGTTGGTCCCTGCCTGGCGCTCAGCATTAATGGGTACAACAAGGACTGGTTGGCTCGGAGTCAGTATAATGTGTCTGAGTGGGGTATTCATGCTTCACTGCGGCATGGTATCTCAGTGGGCTAGCACTATAAAACCAGCTTCAGTCTGGGCTAGTACAAGCAGCCGCACATACACATACACACGCATGCACGTCGTCATATGAGCGAAATATTCTCAAGCACGACGATAAACCCAATTTCACCTCACCTCACCTAAAAATAAATAATGCAATTTTCTCAATAATACTAACTATCAGCCTTCAGGGAAGCTACCATATACTAAAATACCAAATATTACGTGTTTAGATTAAAATATTTAATCCAAAAGTTCGAATGAATTAATGCAACGTTACATTAAATCGACTCTTGAGCCCTCTACCGGCCAAACATTATCTCAAGTGAACACCATACAGTTATGTCCCTTGGAGCCCACTTTACGAATATCCTACAAACAACTTGTGATTGAAACCAGTTAGGCAAACACCGACAACACCGTGTGAGACAGTTTTTCGATGAAAGGAGCAACTGGTTACATTCCATACATGGCAAGTGTTCTCTGCTTGGAAGCTGTTCGCCTCGAAGTTTCAATTATCGATTTCAGGCAAGTCGTAAGGGATAATAAGTCTTTTATTGCATCAATAGGAAGCTAAAGTGAGTGCATATACCCCAATATATATAATATAGGCCAAAATATTGTCGAAGATGTGTGACATTGTGTCTGAAGTCATCAATGTACGGTCACTGACAAAGAATTCCCTTCACTGAAATATTTACACCTGACTAAACAGTAAAAGCATCTGTTTCCTGGCTTTAAATGATCATTGGGAATAGTGAAAACTTACGACAAGCTCTGCAGTCTGAATGTATGCTAATCAGCATCTCATTCAACAAAAGTGTAGGAATTACATGGTTCTTATTGTAATGTTTCCAAGATCGAAGAACAACAGGAGAGGTCAGATTCCAGTCAATTTGTATTTCGCATTTGCACATATCATCGCATTCGCAGTCCAAGATTCAATCCCCTCACGGGCAAACAGTCTCGCAATCGTAACGACACAGACTTCAACGTTTGACTCGTTCGTGCTGGCTCTGTTAGTGCTGCTACTGACTATAAAGTACGTGCAACATTATGCTGTATCAGAGTACACCATGACTTGGAAATTCGCAAACCACATCGCACTCATATTTTCCGCTCACTTCAAGCATCCGTACACAAGGGAGCTAACTCCCATGTATCAAACTGTCAACCGCTAAGAAACTTGCCGTTACACTTATACTTACTCTCTGGTGTTTCTGGTTTGACGGATGCCAGGTACTCTTTGGCTATCTGTTCAAACAACTCTTCTGGAAAAAAGGGGAAAAGCGAACTTGTTAAAACTCTTGAATCACATTTGACAAAAACAACAACATGCTATCATAAGTGATTAGGATCTATAATCGACCCCAAGATAATATTCCTAGCTATTCTGGAATAATATCTAACCATTTGAGATAATTTAATCTGGAAAAAGTATCAAGCTTTTTCCAGTACAAATCATGAAATATCTTTCAGTGCAATAAGATGATGGAAAATCTGTCAGTGTGAAACTTTGTGGCCAACATGTCAGTGTACAGTGAAAGTGACAGTCTTGTGTGACCAACTCAACAATAAACAGTAAAACGTATGTGAGTGAATGAGTGAGTGAGTGAGGTTTAATGCCGCTTTTAGCAATATCACGACGGGAACACCAGAAATCGGTTTCACACTGTATCCATGTGGGGAATCGAAGCCGGGTCTTCGGTGTGATGAGCGAACGCTTTAACCACTAGGCTACACCACTACTCCGTAAAACTTGTGCACTTAGTATGGTACATGTAGTACCTAGCACATCAATATACACCAACACTTGGGACACAAGAAAGGTATGATACTTTATGGATGACAACTTCTTTCAGGGATTTACATGGAGTCCTGTATTTGAGGGTCCCTGGGACTCATACTCTTAACTTTCAGGGGTCCTGGACAAAAAAATGGGGGTCCCAGACACTTAAATAATATTATTAATACTGTTATTGTATTGTGTATCATGATCATCACATTGTTACTGTAATTAAACTGCAAATAATACCATAACCCAGCTAGTAGCAAACTCAGTGATAACTAATTGTCACTTGATTGGAATTTGTACAAAAAGTATTTGGACCTTTTCTGAGTCCCTGTGGACGCGCTAATAAATGTTGTTGCTGTCCATTGTCAATTGTTATGCGTATAGGACGCAGTAATTCACGTCCTGTAAATCCCTGTTCTTTATAACATCAACGATGTTACGTTTTGGTATTGGTTCTAATATAGTTATATCGTTGTCCATAAAGTATCATCATACCTTTCTTATTAGTCATCAACTTGTAAAATGCCGATCAAACACTTGACACACTTACTGATGTTTTCTCCAGTCTTGCTGGATGTCTCGTATATATCAGACATGCAATCTGTGAAAATATAAGACAGTCAGTGAGTGAGGTGGACTCACGGCAATAGGAATAGTATTTGAATTACAGTCTGTTTCATTATTTAAATACAGAGTGAGTGAGTAAGATTTAACACATCTCAGCGTGAAGTAAGGTGATGTATCATAGCATATGTATCTGGATGTATCCAAGGCGAAGTAAGGTGGTGTATCATAGCATATGTATCTGGATGTATTCAAGGCGAAGTAAGGTGATGTATCATAGCATATGTATCTGGATGTATCCAAGGTGAAGTAAGGTGGTGTATCATAGCATATGTATCTGGATGTATCCAAGGCGAAGTAAGGTGGTGTATCATAGCATATGTATCTGGATGTATCCAAGGTGAAGTTAGGTGGTGTATCATAGCATATGTATCTGGATGTATCCAAGGTGAAGTAAGGTGGTGTATCATAGGATATGTTTCTGGATGTATCAAGGTGAAGTAAGGTGGTGTATCATAACATATGTATCTGGATGTATCCAAGGTGATGTAAGGTGGTGTATCATGTATATGTATCTGGATGTATTCAAGGTGAAGTAAGGTGGTGTATCATAGAATATGTATCTGGATGTATTCAAGGCGAAGTAAGGTGGTGTATCATAGTATATGTATCTGGATGTATCCAAGGTGAAGTAAGGTGGTGTATCATAGCATATGTATCTGGATGTATTCAAGGAGAAGTAAGGTGGTGTATCATAGGTTATGTATCTGGATGTATTCAAGGCGAAGTAAGGTGGTGTATCATAGTAATGTATGTGGATGTATCCAAGGCGAAGTAAGGTGGTGTATCATAGTATATGTATCTGGTTGTATCCAATGCGAAGTAAGGTGGTTTATCATAGCATATGTATCTGGATGTATTCAAGGCGAAGAAAGGTGGTGTATCATAGCATATGTATCTGGATGTATTCAAGGCATCAAGTAAGGTGGTGTGTCATAGTATATGTATCTGGATGTATCCAGTGAAGGTGGTGCATCATAGCATATGCAAGATGTATCCAAGGAAAGCTGGTGTATCATAGGATATGTATCTGGATGTATTCATAGGTATCTGGATGAAGTAAGGTGGTGTATCATAGCATATGTATCTGGATGTATCCAAGGAATAAGAAAGTGCTGTATTATGGGATATGTATCTGGATGTATCCAAGGTGAAGTAAGGTGGTGTATCATAGGATATGTATCTGGATGTATTCAAGGAATAAGAAAGTGCTGTATTATGGGATATGTATCTGGATGTATCCAAGGTGATGTAAGGTGGTGTATCATGTATATGTATCTGGATGTATTCAAGGTGATGTAAGGTGGTGTATCATAGTATATGTATCTGGATGTATCCAAGGTGAAGTAAGGTGGTGTATCATAGTATATGTATCTGGATGTATCCAAGGTGAAGTAAGGTGGTGTATCATAGCATATGTATCTGGATGTATCCAAGGTGAAGTAAGGTGGTGTATCATGTATATGGATGTATTCAAGGTGAAGTAAGGTGGTGTATCATAGTATATGTATCTGGATGTATTCAAGGTGAAGTAAGGTGGTGTATCATAGCATATGTATCTGGATGTATCCAATCCAAGGTGAAGTAAGGTGGTGTATCATAGCATATGTATCTGGATGTATCATGTAAGGATGAAGTAAGGTGGTGTATCATAGCATATGTATCTGGATGTATATCCCAAGGATATGTATCTGGATGTAAGGTGGTGTATCATAGCATATGTATCTGGATGTATCCAAGGCTGGATGTATCCAAAGGTGGTGTATCATAGCATATGTATCTGGATGTATCCAAGGTGAAGTAAGGTGGTGTATCATAGCATATGTATCTGGATGTATCCAAGGTGAAGTAAGGTGGTGTATCATAGCATATGTATCTGGATGTATCCAAGGTGAAGTAAGGTGGTGTATCATATGTATATGTATCTGGATCATATCCATCTGGATGTAAGAAGTAAGGTGGTGTATCATAGTATATGTATCTGGATGTATCCAAGGTGAAGTAAGGTGGTGTATCATAGTATATGTATCTGGATGTATTCAAGGTGAAGTAAGGTGGTGTATCATAGTATATGTATCTGGATGTATTCAAGGTGAAGTAAGGTGGTGTATCATAGCATAGTATCTGGATGTATTCTGGATGTATATCATAGCATATGTATCTGGATGTATCTGGATCATCAAAGTAAGGTGGTGTATCATAGCATATGTATCTGGATGTATTCAAGGCGAAGTAAGGTGGTGTATCATAGTATATGTATCTGGATGTATCCAAGGTGAAGTAAGGTGGTGTATCATAGCATATGTATCTGGATGTATCCAAGGTGAAGTAAGGTGGTGTATCATAGGATATGTATCTGGATGTATTCAAGGAATAAGAAAGTGCTGTATTATGGGATATGTATCTGGATGTATCCAAGGTGAAGTAAGGTGGTGTATTATAGTATGTGTATCTGGATGTATTCAAGGAGAAGTAAGGTGGTTTATCATAGCATATGTATCTGGATGTATTCAAGGCGAAGTAAGGTGGTGTGTCATAGTATATATATCTGGATGTATTCAAGGCGAAGTAAGGTGGTGTATCATAGCATATGTATCTGGATGTATCCAAGGAATAAGAAAGTGCTGTATTATGGGATATGTATCTGGATGTATTCAAGGCGAAGTAAGGTGGTGTATCATAGCATATGTATCTGGATGTATTCAAGGCGAAGTAAGGTGGTGTATCATAGTATATGTATCTGGATGTATTCAAGGCGAAGTAAGGTGGTGTATCATAGGATATGTATCTGGATGTATTCAAGGCTGAAGTAAGGTGGTGTATCATAGTATATGTATCTGGATGTATCCAAGAATCGTACCATCAGCCAATGCCTTCGCTGCTCTCTGGTTTACCCGCCTGGCCTCTGGATCAATGGTCACTAAGTCCTTCTTCGTACCACACAGGTAGATCTTGCAGCTCTGCAGTAAACAAACAACTCCTTTAAGTCCAGTTCTTAACAACAAGCTAAATATCTCACTCAACTGAGAGAGAATCTTCAAACTGTTATTTCTATCCCTTACCACAGATTTATCTAGACCTACTTAGATGTTGATAATCGCCCCAGAGACCACAGCAAATGAGAGTAAAACTCCTAACTTGAATTAAAACGTTCCAAATTCCTCAAAATTATTGAAATTAAGAATATTATCATAAACTAGTTTTGAACACTGTCACAATTTTTGTTAGTTTGCATGGGAAAGGCACTAAATTTGGAATCCAAGCAACAAAGTTCACGTCATTATTGTCAGTAGATGTATCACACACACATGAATTATAAATTAATTCGTATTCTCTGACATGAAGTTATGAAGGCTCAATATGCTCTTAAGATGCTCAATGTCAGATTTTTATTAATTAGCCTGTTACTTTCCTGAACTACTTAATGATTCTTGCTTTCCTTCCCATTAAATCGGTATTGAGCAAATTGATCAACCGTGAGCCACAAGCTGAACACACCTCCTCATGTGTCCTGAGTTCTCCTATCCAGAATCGAGAGCGGTCAAAGCTGGACTTGTCTGTCATGTCAAAACACAAGATGGCTGCCCTAGCACCACGGTAGTAGATTCTGCTCATAGCTTCGTACCTTTCACTTCCTGCTGTGTCCTGAAATAACATAAACCAATCTTTACTCACAAACACTCAGAGTACCAGAGATGCCAACCCTACTCTAGCCCAAATAGTATTTTGGCCAAAAACTGACACAAAAATTCGGGTTTTTTTTGCCAAAATTAGTATTAACTTTTCCAAAGAATTTTAATATTAAATAAAGTATGTAAATATATTGTCCAAGACCTTGCTATTAACATTGTACTCACCTTAATCAGTAGTAAGTATCCATATATAGCTTGATACTGAATAAAATGTGGTTGATATTTATTGTGTATGCTACGTATGCTATTTGATAATTTAATTTAATGTATTATTTTCAAAAATGCGTACATGTATATTTTTACTGCTATTGTATCGCGTATTTTGTGTTGTTTTTTCGTAACAAATACGATAAAATCGTGTGGGTTGGCATCTCTGGAGTACCATGCTGAATCAGAATTTTCAAAGACATTGACTCTGAACTCAAATGAGTGCAAGTCAGGTGTCTTTAATAATAGTGCTACTTGAGGACATCACGATACCACTATCAGTATGATCCTCATTGCACCATGTACTAGGCATCATGAAATTCTATACACGATACAGTACAACCAGAAATTATTGAGAATTTAAAGATTGTAAATGTTTTTATTTTTCACTCATTACTCACGTATTAAATGTGAATATTAGCAGAACATAACTCCAGATTCAAAGACAGGCGAACAGTTAGTATTTTGTCAAGTCACCATGGGCAGCAATGCAGGCTTCAATGCGGCGGGGCATACTACTGATCAAAGAAGTTAGAAAGTCGTGGTCCATGCTGTCCCAATATCGGACCACCTCTTCTTTCATTTCAGCAATATTTATCAGATTTTTCTTATTGACACTTTCCTTCATAAGTCCCCCAACATTTTCTATTGGATTTAGGTCAGGGCTATAGCTTGGCCTATCTAATAATGTCATATTTTGGGTCCGAAACCAGGCCTGTGAACGCTTTGAACGATGTTTTGGGTCGTTGTCCTGCTGGAAAATCAAAAATTTCATAGAACACGTGAGCAGATGGAAGTAAATGTCCCTCGAGAATATCTGTGTATCGCTCACTGTTCATATTCCCTTCAAATACACAGATGGGCGTTGCCCCTAACACAGATATGCCACCCACACGTTAAATTTCGGACTGTACTTTGGGCGCTGATACAAAGGTTTTTCAGTTTGTTTGGTCCAGAATTTCAGTGTATTAGGAAACAGCCACACAGAACTTTCATCTGAGAAAATCACATTGTCCCAGTTAAAATTTCAAGCTGTAAGCACCAGTTCAACCTTCGCTCCTTTTGTTCAGGTTTCATGATCGGTGATGGAATTCCTCGACTTTTCTGCCAACCCATTGCATGCAGCTCAGTTCTAATTGTCTCCTTACAGACAACCACAGTTCCTCTATCAATCATATCCAGCCTTAAGTTTTCTAAACTCCTTCGTTTGTTTTAGAAACAAGAATACCAAGCCGCCTCCTGTCACCGACAGTCAATTTTCTGGGCCTACCTGCGCCTCCCTGGTGCTCAATGCCATATCCATTTGCAATATTTTTCAAAACACGATAAACAGTGGACAAAGGGATGCCTGTTCTACTTGAAATCACTTTAGCTGATCTGATGTCCTTGTTATAATACTCTAAAATCAACTTCCTCTTCTCTTAATCATAAATACTGAGAATCACTGAAAATGTCGTCTGCTAGCAAGTAAACAAAGGGGATAACTCTTCACAAACTAATGAAAAAGGATTAACGGAGTTGTCTCTCTTGAATGAAACCAAGCACTTGCTAGCTGGTCAAGGTTGTTTATACTAGAAATCCAATTAAACATATTCCACAAATTCTCAATAATTTCTGGTCATACTATACAATATGCATCATTATCCTTAACACAACTGAATCTATATTTTTCATACATGTGAATCAAATGAGTGCAAATCAGGTGTCTTTAATAATAGTGCTACTTGAGAACATCACGATACCACTATCAGTATGATTCTCATTGCACCATGTACTAGGCATCGTGAAATTCTATACACGACACAATATGCATTGTTATCCTGAACACAACTGAATCTATATTGTTCATGTGATATAAATACTTTTAACATAAAATATGCTTCATGTTTTGAGAACATAAATGCTTAATTTCAATCAACACTATATTTCAGATGAAACAGGAGTATCAAGTGAGTGAGTATGGTATTACGCCGCTTTTAGCAATATTCCAGCAATAGCATGACAGGGGACACCAGAAAAATGGGCTCCACACATTGTACCCATGTAGGGAATTGAACCCGGGTCTTCGGCTTGACGAGCGAATGCTTTAACCTCTAGGCTACCCCACTGCCCTTACTCCATGTGTGAAATGATAAAGAACAAGCATTGTCACTAAGGTGACATAATCCCCCGCCGCAAATTATCAAATCAAACTTATAAAGTAATGAAAGTTTAAGATGAAGTTAAATGTCAACAAAAAAATGACCAGTCAACCTCTATTGATATCTGGCTCTTTAGTTGTTCAAACATTTCTTGCTGTTGTTAACTTCAAAGGTAAATAAGGTATAAGAACAGCCAATACACATTTAGCATGTGCAGGATTCTATCATACTAACCCATATTCCCATCACAAGGGACTGTCCATCAACATCAATCTTCTTTGCACCAAAAGCTGCCCCGATTGTCTGGAGAAACAAAACAAAATAGACATAATAGAATAACAATATTGAATATTGAATAGACTAAGTAGCCAGTAAACATTTCAACACACCAGTGGCATCAATACAGGGCTCTTATTACAACACATTCATTTATTCTTTGTAATGAGTGAGTGAGTGAGAATGGTTTTCTCTGCTTTTAGCAATATTCCAGCAATATCCCAGCGGGGGACACCAGAGATTGGTTCGCACATTGAACCCACGTGTGGGAAATCGAACCCAGGTCTTAGGTGTGATGAGCAAACGCTTTAACCACTGGGCTACCCCATCACCTGTGACTACTGAGAAAGCATTTAGAATTTGTATATTATAAACAATATATTAATGGTATTTAATATGCTAACAGTAAACATTTGAGTATAGCAGTAATATAAATGCATGACCTTTTCTAATTAATAACATCTTCTTTTAACCTTTGTAACAATGTTTCAGAGCTACTTTTGCCCCTTTATCAGTCGATTACTGAGGATCCACATACAGTTTATAGGTGAGATGAGGTGAAATTGGGTTTAACGTCGTGCTTGATAATATTTTGCTCATATGACGACGTGCATGCATGTGTATGGCTGCTTGTACTAGCCCAGACTGCAGCTGGTTTTATAGCCCACCATGCCGCAGTGAAGCTTGAATACCCCACTCAGACACATTATACTGACTCCGAGCCAACCAGTCCTTGTTGTACCCATTAATGCCGAGCGCCAGGCAGGGACCAACAAGTACCATATTTTAACGTCTTTTGGTATGACGCGGTCTGGGATTGAACCCGCGACCTTCCGCTCTCCGGGCGGACGCTCTAACCACTACACCACGGAGGCGGTTACAGTTTATAATGTACACGATGACTTGTAAACACACTGTAGGATTTATCATGCTTATGTACAAAGATAACAATAAAATGACAAAGTTAAAACATTATACAGACAACAAGCGACAAAGCCAACTAATTAATGAGACATAAGCCGAAGCAGTACAGCGATGGTGTAGTGATAGAGCTGGATGTAATAACAAGTAATAACTGAGAATGACAACAATAACAACAATACAATAACAATGTCTGTTTGTGGTGGGTGATTACAGCACAGTGGAGGAGGTATATGCCTGGGTCTCTGTTAAAGGCTGGATTCTTTCCTTGGATTTCAATAGTTTCCTGAAGTTTCCAGTGACTTATGTTGGACAATCTTTGCGTGTAGCTTAGACTTAAACTTAGTCCCTAAATATATTTAATTTTGATAGTAACTGTTATTTTTACTGTTAACAAATAAATTGAAAAGGATCCCTAGTCAGATGGGAAATTCAGAACCTGGGCGATCTAGACGTGCTTCATTTAGGGCTATAGCATTGCAGGGAGGGCTAGGCAGTAGGAATAATAATGTGGTTCAGTGACTGTGAGACAGGCTGCTTAGCTGGGAGATATGATAGCAGTACAACATGCTTTTCTTTATAGAAAATACAATGTCCCGATCCACATTTGCAAACCTGTAGTAAACTGTAAAGTAACAAGACTGACTGACTGAGTTTGGTTTTACGCCATTTTTAGCAATATTCTAGCCACATCACGGCGGTTTACACCAGAAATGGGCTTCACAAATTGTACCCATGTGGGGAATCAAACCCGTGCCTTTGGCGTGGCGAACCTTGTGGATCAGGACCCAGGAGTACAAGAAAATAATGTCAGTGAATTTCTGTTAAATCAAACACAATGATTTCAGAAGTAAACAATACAACACATTCAGTTGTTAGTAAATCATGAACATATTAGTACACTGACGAACCAGAGACATATAACAGTACGCAAGCCGGGCAATCTCAGGGGGATTTCTCTCATTCAAAACTATTTGCTCTTCTCAGGCAAATTCCAAATAATTTTGGTCAAAATTGGGATTTTCTAGTAAGATTTTATGCTCCCAAATTCAGAGGAATTTCTACATAGTATTTCAACAGTGCACTAAATGCAATAATATAAACCAGGCATTAAAACCCCTCCCTAATTTATTGCTCCTGAAACAAAATATAAATCCCTTCAAAACATCTGTACCATCGGTAGAAAACTGGAAATATTATATTCCAGATTGGGAAACTTAATGACATTTGGGCCAAATATATGCCTCTCTTTTGGGTAAGACAAAGCCCTGACACTTATTCTGCTTAAGAGAGAGCCCTCTGATAAGGATTCAGGCAACTGAAGAGTGCAGCAAACCGTCAAACCATTACATTCTGGTATGGCACCACATCGCCACTGAATCGGTCATGGATGTAGCGCTCAACAAGACTTGTCTTTCCTGCGTATGCCTTCCCCAAGAGAACCACTTTGATGTCTACTCTACTTCCTGCCATCAGAACTCTTGGTCATCATAGGCACTGAAATAACAAATAGTGGACAATGGTAACAGAGGCATAAAGAAAGCATGAATCTCAGTGATGACAGTTACAGTGATTTAGTGAGTTAGTACAGACTTACGCCACTTTTAGCAATATTCCAGCAATATCACAGCAGAGGTCACCAGAAATGTGCTCCACACATTGTACCCATGTGGGGAATCGAAGCCCTAACAGATCCAGTGGTGATAACAGATGTTGCTGGTGACAATAACAAAGGAAGTGATGACAATTACAGATGCAGAGCCGATAACAGATGTTGCTGGTGACAATAACAAAGGAAGTGATGACAATTACAGATGCAGAGCCGATAACAGATGTTGCTGGTGACAATAACAAAGGAAGTGATGACAATTACTAACACAGTGGTGATAACAGATGTTACTGGTGACAATAACAAAGGAAGTGATGACAATTACTAACACAGTGGTGATAACAGATGTTACTGGTGACAATAACAAAGGAAGCGATGATAATTACTAACAGTGGTGATAACAGATGTTGCTGGTGACAATAACAAAGGAAGTGATGACAATTACAGATGCAGAGCCGATAACAAATGTTGCTGATGACAATAACAAAGGAAGCGATGATAATTACTAACACAGTGGTGATAACAGATGTTACTGGTGACAATAACAAAGGAAGTGATGACAATTACTAACACAGTGGTGATAACAGATGTTGCTGGTGACAATAACAAAGGAAGCGATGATAATTACTAATGCAGTGGTGATAACAGATGTTGCTGGTGATAATAACAAAGGAAGTGATGACAATTACAGATGTAGAGCCAATAACAGATGTTGCTGGTGACAATAACAAAGGAAGTGATGATAATTACAGATGCAGAGCCGATAACAGATGTTGCTGGTGACAATAACTGAGGCAGCGATGACAATTACAGATGCAGTGGTGATAACAGATGTTGCTGGTGATAATAACAAAGGAAGTGATGACAATTACAGATGCAGAGCCGATAACAGATGTTGCTGGTGATAATAACTGAGGCAGCGATGACAATTACAGATGCAGTGGTGATAACAGATGTTGCTGGTGATAATAACTGAGGCAGCGATGACAATTACAGATGCAGTGGTGATAACAGATGCTGCTGGTGATAATAACTGAGGAAGCGATGACAACTACAGATGCAGTGCTGATAACAGATGTTGCTGGTGATAATAACGGAGGCACAGAGGTACAGATAAGCTGCGTATCTGCGTAAAATACGCAAATATTTATGTGAAAAGTCAATTTCTATCAAGTCTATTGCGTACAAGTATGCTTGAATTTTTGTAAATACTCAATAAATGTGCGTACACTAAAAATGTCAAATCTTAGCTTGCATACTGGTGAATAGATGAAATAACTGAGGTATACTGAGAGGTTCTATTTCAGGACATGAACTTGACAACTTGCAGTCTTTCTTATCGTTTTTCATATTACAGATCAAATATAAATAACAAACACTAACACTTAAACTTTATTATATTTTAAAAATTAATGGAAAATGGCAAAATACCCAATTGAGTTTGAGTGAGGTGAGTACAATTTATTTGTTTACTCAAAGGATAATTAGGATACCCAATTGAGATGAACACAATTGAGTACATAACTCAATGACCCAAAAAGTTATCTGTAGCTCTGGAGGCCATTATGATAACCATAATCATACAAATCTGGTTCACCTGAGTGCTAGGACAGAAAGCTTGCGAGTACAAACTGTTTAATTTCGAATGATAACCTTGAAGACACCATGAGTGACAAAGGTGAATAAGAAACCTATTCATCCAAGTTCCACAGTGCCCTGCTGCTATGAACATGATGAAGCATTGCTCAAGCAGATTCATCATCCAACACTTGTTTGTTTTTCCCATACACAGCATTTATCATTGTTTTGCAGGATGTCATCACAACTGTAATATTGATATCTGTGGCATAAAATAACATGCAGCCAGTGTAAAAGATGTTTCAACACAATTGGCACCTAACCCTGATGATTGCACACATGACTGACATGGCAAAGTGAGTGAATGAGTATGGTTTTTACACCGCTTTTAGCAATATTCCAGCAATATCACGGTGGGGGACACCAGAAATGGCTTCACACATTGTACCCATGTGGGGAATCAATACCCCATGGCCAAGTGAGGAGTGTAGGCTACTCATGAAAAATATTGCAACAAGGATATATCATGATATATATTACATGTGTTACAAGGTAATAAACCTTATTCGGTGCAAATGTCGGGCAACAAACCCTTTGCACAACAAAGCCATAAGTGGTGTAGTGAAGTGAATCTGGACTTTCTCACAGAAAAACAACAAAACTTAAATGCACATTACTTCCTGTCAAACTGCAAGACTAATAGTGCTAAGGAGTAAACATAGAGTTTACTTCTGTAACAATATTAAATGGAATGATACAGTTATGTTCAAACAGTGAAGGACAATAATCAGTTGTATGTATTTTGCATACCATGTATACAGTGGTATGAGTAAACTCACATTTTGTGAAGTGAACTCACGATGTCCCTCAAACCCCATGACACAAAGGTAAGATAAGATAAGATAATTCTTTATTGTCCCAAGGGAAATTTGTTTTGCATCATACGTTCTCCAGTTTTTCATTCAGAAAGCAGCCATACATAACATTGCAATTGGTAATCATGAAATAATCAGGATATAAATACATCAATTTAGTACACAAACATAGATACCGAATAGAATTTGGACAATTAAAAGACAAGTGATTCACAGAAAGTGTCATAGCTAATGACACTTTCTAAACATACTCTGTTATGGTATATATCTTATACTTAGTTATTTGGGATCATCATCCATCAGTGAATTCTCTTTGTCTGAAACAGTAGTCAATTTGGCTGACATTACCATTATAAAATTCTTATCGCACATTATAAAACAAAACATAAATGCCCCTCCCGTCTTGAGAGGTGTTGACCTATGAAGAACTTGTTTGGTGGGTCATCTTTCCGATAGGTCAAAAAGCTGGGCAAAATCCATGTCATGAGCCAAGGTCTTGTTAGACTGTTTGACAAGCCAACGTCTCGGGGCGATAGAAATAATTTCGATTTAGGACAACCTGATTTATACTCATCACTGTTAATATAAATGACTTATGACCACCATCTAGGTTCATTATCTTAAACAAACCAACATCACCGTGAAAACTGTAAAAAAAAGTAAACGGACATTCGATATTCAATGTAAACATAAATCGAAAGTATTTACTCACACTAGAAAGGTCGACTTGTGCCAATGTAACCACTGCGGAAAAACTGAAAGGGTGTTTTCCACAAATGAACAACCGTTAGAGTAACCCCCCTTGAAAAGGCTCCACCTATGATATTTTAGCGTGAAAAAGCATACTTGAAAATAATATGAAAACGGATTCCAATTGGCCAGTCGAAAATGGGTCCGAACGTATATTTGATATTGCTATGCTGGAATGTAAGACCATGATATGGCGAGTCAACATAAAAAAATATCTACCAAGACAGCTCAAAAGACAAGCCACATGTTGCCAGCCGAGCGTCGGTCGTGCCCAGATTTGCAGCTGTACGCTTGGTATAAGGTTACGTAATTAATACGTGTTCAGGAAAATTAGGTAACACGTTACATCTATGTAACAAAAGAATAACAGAAAATTCATTGCACAACAATTGCCACAAGGGCAGCTGGCACGCGTCATTGTGAAGGCAACATTTAATTTTATTGGAGGGTGGGAAAATAGGTTTCATATCATTTTAGTTTTAATGTTCAGAAGCTCAAATACTTTTAAAGACTTAGGCCGGACATGTTATTTTCCCACAAGGCATACATATAGTGTTTTTAAAAAGTAAAACACGGGCTTGATTGTAGAATTTGCAAAATGCAAATATATCAATGATAAAATAGCGAAATATTTTTAAGCACACTTCAAGATCACCTTTATTGTTTACTTTTATCTTATGTATAAAACAAATGAGCTCATGTGACCTTTAATGTAAGCAAAGACGTCTTTCATGAAAGTAAAATACAACATGGTTGACAGAAACTTCGATCGTCATATCTCAAATATATATTCACTAGGAATACTGGTGTATTAAACGTTTTGAAGTTTTAGGTTCTCAGCAATCTCATTTTGGGGGAAATTAAGCCTTTCATTACCTCCATCTTTATCATCCAGTTCTTTCTGTTTTGTTTTCAGATATTACGGTTTATTTCTATAGATAAATTCATAAACAGAGCGCCTATATGTGCGTTGATTACAAGTTTAATTTATGAATTCGTTTTCAGTTCAAATGTATTGCGGATATTAGTAATAACCAGGATAACATTCAAGCTCTGTGCATGGTGTTGGTATCTTTTGAACGCAAAAGGAAGCACTGAGTAGTGCAAAGAGCTTTGCACACGTGAATAATTTTCTCCATATTGCAACATCAAAGAACATCTAACTGTCAATGCATCACCCTTAACGAGTGGTAAGTTATACGACAAAACATACATATCTACCCAATTAAATAGCCCTAAATAAGACCAATATTGACCCAGAAGTAATTTATGAACACACCAATTTTGTATCGTAAATAATTGTTCTAATTTCGATCACCAATGTACACCCATTTTGGTTGTGTAAAGAATAAGTTGAGTTGTAGCGGAGAGATTTCCGCCCGTAATCCCTGTTTTTATCATTCTATGCCTAAGATTTATAGTAAGATAGATGGGGTTTTTTTAATAGAAAGCCTACCGTAACCCTAAACCTAAACCTAACATCATGCTAAACCTGAACCCTAACCGGTAACCCCTTGAAATAATCAGGGACCGTTCATAATTTATGGGTAGGGGTGTGGGGGAGGCGGTGTGTGGTGTGATGATGATTTTAAGGGGTTGGTGGTGGTTGTGTGGTCATCTATTTTGTTCTGGGGATTTAGGGGTGGGGGTGGGGTCCATCAATTTTGTAAACACGTATGGAAATCAATTTTGTACATAAATATATGTTTAAAATTATGCTTAGAAATTATGGGAAGGGGAGTGGGGGTCATTGATCTTGTACATGACATGCAGGGGCGGGGGTTCACTTATTTTGTGCATAAATTTTAGGGGGTGTCATTCACATTGTACATGCTTCTCCATAAAAATCATCATCACTCCCCTAGCCATAAATTATGAATGGTCCCTAAATAGAATTCATTTTAAGCGGGGCTTACGGGCGGAACTCTTACCTCCAGATTGACTAAACAATGTAAAGCTGTACAGGTCTAGTAACTGAAAAAGATATTCAGATTTGTTGAGAATATTGATTTTATTAGGTACATTTCTTCAATTTCCTATTAGTAAAGCCTCATAATGTTCATAGAACATATTCAAAGTGTTTGATTGGTCCATGTGAACATTCTGAAACAGTCAGGCATGACTAGGTTTTCAACATCTAATATGGGATCCTAAGCAGCTGTACCTATTGTATTCTGTATATCCACAAACAAACAGAGCGGAAGGTCGCGGGTTCGATCCCCCGACCGCGTCATACCAAAAGACGTTAAGATATGGTACTTGTTGGTCCCTGCCTGGCGCTCAGCATTAATGGGTACAACAAGGACTGGTTGGCTCGGAGTCAGTATACTGTGTCTGAGTGGGGTATTCATGCTTCACTGCGGCATGATATCTCAGTGAGCTAGCACTATAAAACCAGCTTAAGTCTGGGCTAGTACAAGCAGCCGCACATACACATACACACGCATGTACGTCGTCATATGAGTGAAATATTCTCAAGCACGACGTTAAACCCAATTTCACCTCACCTCAGGTGCAATAGACTGTGACTTATTACTTGTCCAGCAAGTTTACTGGGAAGTAGTGATGGACGATGATTGGTGAATCTTAATTAAGTTTAAATAGTGTAATCATAAGCCACCTGTTGGAACTGGGAGATGGCGAAAAATAGGTTTAACTAAAAAACCTTTGTCAACTATCTGACATAGGTGGTGAATTCCTCTATTTGTTTATTTGTCCCACTTCAGAATTAATGCAAGATAACAGTTTTACACAGATTTTACTACATTAAACCCAATATATATAAAATGAATTTGCTTTTCAATAAGCCATGATTGGGAACATTGAGAAAATTCATAGTGACTACAACCCATGAAGATCCAGGTTAGAATTGGTCTTCAGTAACCCATGCTTGTCGTAAGAGTAACAGGATCCACTGACTTGGTTGACACATGTCATTGTATCCCAATTGCGTAGATCAATGCTCATGCTGTTGATCACTGAATTGTCTACTCCAGACTCGATTACTTACAGATTTCTGCCATATAGCTGGAATACTGCTGAGTGCGGTGTTAAACAACAACACCAATCATGGTGACTCCACTTGTATTAACATATGTTATATTTGGGATTACACCTTCTTAGTAAAGTACAAATTCTAGTACTTTTGGGTTGAGTCGCATCCAGGATTCGAACCCACACCCTCAGAATCAGGCACCTAATCGCCAGGTCACAAAGTCAGCCGCCTAACCCGCTCAGCCACCACGACTTTCACACAGGTCAAGGATGCCTGCATTGGAAAACCCTTGAAAAGACCTTGGATTGCTGTGTCAAGTAGAAACTGCCATGCTATGTTCTTTCTGCTTTACATGTTTAATGAGACATGACATGAACTTGGTGAAATCAGCATGTGGGGGTATACACGTATGTAACAATTGCCTGGTCACGGTCACCTTGATGTGTTGTATGGAGTTGTGAACTTCAGTTGCCAGAGTCTGCTGAATATTCAGCATTAAATTCAATCAAACTGATCAACTGACAAACATATGCACGTCACTTTCTTCTTGTGGCAACCATTTTAAACCTTTTAACGTCAATGAAACCTTTGTACTTCCAGGATACCGTTGAACTTCAATGAAATGATACTCAAAACAATCTAAACCAAAAATTGAATAAGAAAATTGATCTGAAAGTAGTAATATTTTTATCGGAAAATCAGAGGATTACACCTACACATTACCTACTTTGAATTGTATTAATGAATAAAAAATATTGAGACTTGGTAGGGAGAGAAAAAAGAGAGATCTGCAAATACAGTCGAGCACTGTTGTGTCGAACTCTGATAACTCAATATCTCGATATCTCGGTTGTCTCGATATAACATCTCGGTCCTGGCAGAATCCTTCATAATTTATCATTATTCAAGCTCTTTTAACTCGATACGGATGTCTCGATATTTCGGATATCTCGACATAATTTCATGGTCCCAAGAAGCAAAATTACCCTTTTAACTCAATATTTACAAAGCAACGCGATATTCATCTACCTTTCATGGGCAAGTATCCCTCTGAACTGAGGTTGTTTCCACACGTTTACGCATGGTGCGGCATGAATCAAAGGGATGCGGTAATGTAAACTAATTAGGGTTAATTGAGTTGAAGGTGTCAAAATTGGTCTTCAGCAATCTATGCTTGTCGTAAGAGGTGACTAACAGGATTGGGTGGTCAGGATCACTGACATGGCTGACACATGTCATCACATCCCAATTGGTGCTTATGCTGTTGATCACTGGATTGTCTGGTCCAGACTCATTTATTTACAGACTGCCGCTGGAATATTGCTGAGTGCGGCATTAAACAACAACCAAACCAAGCTAAACACCAGTACACAAGTTCTCTGGAGAAGACTTAAAGAATAATTTCTGAGGCAGATTGTCTAAAATATGTCTTAGCTCATCCTCTGCATCTGCCTTATGTTATATAGTACTTAACATTTGTCAAGGACCGAAGCTTTAGGTGGTCAAGATACTGTTGCAAGTTTTAGTGAGATTGTAATGATCAGTTGATTGAGCACTTTCTAAAAGGCATTGTATACTCTTAATTTTTGTCTTATCCTGATATAAAAATATCAATTTTACTTGAAAAGTACATATTTTTATACTTATCCTGACTCATGAGGTCAAGCAAAAGATCATGAATCAGGATAAGTATAAAAATTTCAATTTTACTTGAAAATTTCATGCTTACGGATATTGGAGGCGTGACAATTCTTTCTTGTCACAGGGCTACACAAAGTACTGGTATGTGAACTAGACTACCAGTTGACAGACTTTCATTTTGTGGAAGCCTCAGTTGGTGAGTGAGTTGGCTTTGCTGGCGATTTTGTGCCTCCTTTTTAGAGTGTGGGTTTGAATCCCACATGGGACTCAACCCCAGAAGTTCTAGAATTTGCGTTTGACTCTGTAATTGCAAATATAGCATATGTTATACGAATTGTTGTCATTATCAACTGTTTAACCGTGAAATTAATTAATGTCTTATACTTTTGTATTTTGACAGACTTCTGTTTAATTGTCATGTTTGGTATTTTGACAAAAAATGTACCATATATTATACACGTTTCCAATGTCGTCTTTTGAAGACGAATGCTATGATACAATATTTGAAGATGTGAATGACGTCCTTAGATTGTCACTTTGTTCACAAATGCATTAGTGTCAAAATAATTACTTATATTTAACATGACAACTCAGTGTCATCAAAAGAATTCTATAATTTAACTTGCCTAGTGAACTGTTCTACCATGTCGACACGAACTGCATGTCTATAGACAAGTTGCAGTGTTTAGAGTATGTAGATTAAGTCTTTGTGTACAAATTGTAAGATATTTTCAAGTCGTTTACCATGTTTTCATGAACCTCTATGCTTGATAAGCTGATAGGCAATGCAACGGTGACACAAGATCACGTTTCAAGTGTGTATGTCAACTAGTTCCACTTAGGTCGTCACCTGCACTCTTTGATCTGCTGAGTGTTATGCAGACTTTACTCAGCCATTATTCCAATCATGCCTGTGTAATCAGGGACTCAATTAGACACTCGCTAGGGTGCTACGAGGTGCGAGGCCATTGTTTGAAGTAGCACAGACCTGTTTCTTTCTCCACGGAGTGCTCTGTCTTATGTAGGATTTTAGAACTGTTGGGAACAGACTTTTTGAAAAAGCATGCTTTTTTCTTCTTCCAATTTGAACTTCTTATATTCTTATCTGAATGTCATGTCAAAGTGATTTCCCCTCTATTGGATATGTTATCATTGAAACACAGGTCACCTTTGCATACCTACCACATTTGGGGTACACAAAGTACATGATCTAGACTACCAATTGTTGAACATTTTGTGAAAGCCTCAGTGGCTGAAAGGGTATGGTTGCTGACTTTATGTATTGGCTTTGATTAGGTGTTCTGAAAGTTTGGGACCCGTGAAGATCCGGGTTACAATTGATCTTCAGTAACCCATGCTTGTTGTAAGAGGCGATTAACGGGATCGGGTGGTCAGGCTCGCTGTCTTGGTTGACACATGTCATTGTATCCCAATTGCGTAGATCGATGCTCATGCTTTTGATCGCTGGATTGTCCGGTCCAGACTCGATTATTTACAGACCTCCGCCACATAGTTGAAATACTGCTGAAGTATTGCTGAATGCTGCATAAAACT